CGAAGATATGGGGAGTGATGGATCCAATAATTTGCCTACCAAGATTACGCCCATGGTGGAAGCGCTTCTTCCTGTCCTGCGCTTGTACAGTATGTGGCTTACTGCCTGTCGGGGTGAAGTCAGTGCTGCTGCTCAAGCATTTGGCGGAGTCATACCACGGCTGGTTCAGAATCTTGCCAAGGTGTTAACTTTGCTCTGCATTTTCACGTACAGCCAGGCGTTGAGCAACTGCCCATATCTCCTTGCGGAGGATTTGGAAATACGTGGCTTTCGCCCCCTATCTGAGGAGACCATCCCCCAACAATGCCGTTGCTTTTGCACCGAAGATGGCTCCCCAAAGACCTATCTGCAGGACCGCAGCTCTCGCCTGGAGCCATCCCAAGAAAACTTGGCCAGAATTTTGGACATTCTTCGCTGTGCGTACTTCCTCGCCGAGGACTCGAACTTCCCAATGTCTTACAAGGTTGTCGACAACTCCCTCGTTTTTGAATACTGCGTCAAACCTACGTCTGATTCGCCTGAGGCTGCAGCCAAGACTTCGACCTCGTCACCAAACACGGCATCCAAGAACCCTCTCGGCAATGAAGATGCGGATGATAGTAGCCTGCCAAGCCGTGTTATATTGGCTGAAGAGCCTCGACAATTGCTCGAGAACTTAAATACTGACGCGAATAGCCAGAAGCCACAGTCGACTCAGCAGGAAAGGGTTCAAGACGACGCAAATTTAGAGGACCGAGACGATGCATTGTTTGAAATGCTGTCTCCCTTCTTGAAGCCACCCACACCACAACCTCAACGGCAGCGTCATTCGACGGATGAATCTTCTTATGGAATGCATACGATGACAGCGAACAATGTCCTTGGCTCGTTTCAAACAGAGCGCAGTCCGCCTGGCTCCGTCCTTTCAGGAAAGTTTGCTCCGTTGCCGTGGGCTTGGTTCAATACACCTGAGCCTGAAAAGCCTGCCGACAGTATGACGCCAAATGGATCAACTGGTTTTGGCGAGAGCGCGAGCCCGTACAATTCTCCAAGACGCCCTACGAGCAGTGGAAATTATTTAGATGACCCCTTTGCGACTCCCGGACGAAATCTCCATGGTGTCCTTGTCAATAGTCATACTGCCCAGCAGCAGAACAGACGGAGCTTTACTGGGCCTGTCGTAGGGCCTGTCGTTTCGGGCCCGGAAACTGCCCATAGGAGCAACTTGCTCCAGGCATTCTCTGGAACTAGCGTGCCGCGAAGCTCGCCTTTTATCAGATGGGGCGACAATCAGCAGTCTACGTTGCAGAACAGCGGTCCTGCCGTCTCGCCTTGGGGGTCTCGAGCCTTGGATAGCCTCCCCCAATCGACGGGGCTTTCTGCTTTCTCTCATCCAAGCAGCCTGTATCAGGGCACACCGGCAAACGTAGTTGGTCTTGGGATGAGCCCTATTTCTGGACGACCAGAGCCTCAGTTCTCGAGTCCTGCTCACGCCGAAACCGCAGCGAGATACTTGCAAATGGACCAGACTGCGTTGAACTATAACGAGGCTATTATGCAGACAGCCTATCATGGTAACAAGTGATTTTCCACTTCGCCTTTCGAACTCTTTCCCTTTTGTTATCAAAGGACGTTTGAGAGTTATCCATGCCCCCTGATGAGCTTTCAGCCCGGCCTTGAACAGCTTAGCCAAACTTTGCAAAGTGGACACACGAGTTGTACATTTGCAAGATACCGGGATGACATAGCAGTTGCACAAGCGATACCTGAAAGTCACAAGTGCCTCTTTTAAAGCCCTTCTTTTTTTAAAAAAAAAAAAGAAAGAAGGAAGGAAAGGAAAGAAAGCCAATGAATCTGACGGGCGGTTCGATACGAACGCCGCTTTAAACATGTCTATTTTGCATCTTTTACGTGCTTTAATCAAATTTGAACAAAAATTGATCGGATCGTGGAGGATACCGAATCGCTATGCGAAGAGAGCCACAACTTCTGGGGGCTCCTTTTGCCACAGATGCAAAAACGCCGTTGTTGAAACCGTTTCCCATTTAGCCCTCAACGCCGAACTACACTCATTTTACCTAATGGAATCATTGTGCCTTTGTATGAGGCTTTAAGAGGAGGCCTGGTAGGTCTTCTTGGGAAAGGGGTACCTGGATGATCAGAGCGGGTTAGCCAAGGCTTTCTTTTTTAGTTGGAAAGATATGGCTATGAGGCGGGTGTAAGGAGTGTGACGAGGCTAAGCGTTTTTGATGTTATATTCGTGAGCGATCATTATCCAATCCGTATAAATCAGACATAGGATCAGATATATAATGATCGGAATGAACAATGATGATTATTGCCTCAAGGGAGGGCAAGAGGGGAATAAAATCAAATTCTGTGACTTACGAAGGTCCCAACTCCTGAATACTCAGCCTGGCAAGCCACTGGCCCATGTCAATGGAAGTAGCGAGGTCCTTGCCCTGCATGATACCGGCCAAAAGTCCACCGGCAAAGGCATCACCAGCACCATTGGTATCGTTGATCTGCTCCTTGCCGATGGCATGGACTGGGAATTCCTTGATCTGATCCTCACCCTGGACAGCAACGAGGGTAGGCTCGGTGCCCTGAGTGATAATAGCAACTCGCTTTCTCTTCCCGTTCTCCTTGGGCAGGTTGGCCAGGTGCTTGACAACATCCTTGGGCTCCTTGGAGGGCAGGTTGTGCGACTCAGCATAAGCAGCGGCCTCGGTCTCATTACCGATGACATAGTCCCAGTAAGGGGCGGAGGCATCGACGGGATCCTTGAAGAACTGGGGGATGAAGGGGGCAGAGAGCGACAGAACAAAGATCTTGTTCTTTTCGGCGGCCTGTTTGGCGAGCTCCATGATGGCTGGAGGGCAGACTGCATCATACATAACATTGTCGGTTAGGGTGTCCGTGCTACGAATGCAATTCATATGAATCCATGTGCGAGGGGGACTTACCCGTGAAGTGGTAGCCACCAATGTAGTACACCTCGGCATTCTGAACGAGGCTCCAGATCTCAGGCTTCTTCAAGTGGTCGAGGTCGTAGTGGTTCGCAGCACCGAGATCAGTACACAGACTTCGGTTGTGGCCGGTAATGACAACGCCGCAGCGGCCGGTCTTCTTCTCAGGGTCGACACGGTACTCGACGCGGAGGCCAGCGGCCGTGACGGCGTCGTGCATGATGGCAGAGTACTTGTCATCACCAGCACCACCGAGGTAGACGACGCTGTTGGGGGGCAGGATGTACTGGGCACCACGGGCGGAGTTCTGGGCAGCACCACCAGCAATCAACTTGGCGTCGTAGTTGTTGAGCAGGTCTTCGTACAGAGGGAGGTGCTTCTCCTCGGCGAGGATAGCGTCATTGGCCTTGAGACCATACTTGTCGAGAAGGGCCTGGTCACCAACGGCTTGAATATCTGTTCATGATGAGAAGTTGTGGTGGTCAGCTGGAAGCCACGAGCGCATTTACAATGGATGGCTCTGATAATCATCATCATCATGGTGGGGTCTGACTATGAGGGGAAAACGTCTGGTAGTAGAGTGTCGGGTAGAGAGGTTGCAACAAACGTACCGAGAAGAGGGTTCTCGAGGCAGAGAAGACCGTATTCCTTTGCAGAAGCCATGATGATCGATTGTTACGAAATGAAATGCAGAACAGGACAAATGCGAATATATCAACGGTTGGAAGAGACGATGTACATGAGTAGTCGGAGTGGAAGGGTCTACAAGGTGGGAGATTTTTTGAGTGGTTGTCGAGCCATCGGTGATGGCGGGGCACGCCGAAGCGGCTTGCTCAGGTACTCCCAGCCAAGTTGTGAGATGGAGGGGTCGACCGGAGTATCTTGGCCAGCTCAGCTCGTCACGGGTGGGGCAGATGCTGCAGGTTTCTGTCTCGGTCTTGAACCCATTTACAGCAGTTTGCGTATCTCGCAAAGAATATTGGCGGGCAAATGTCACTCAAGCTGCTGCGCCGCGCCGCGCTGCTCTGTAAGAACTCTGACTGTGTACTTTTATGCTCGTAGAGGTATCGAGTATATTCACCGACCGTACTTTGTGCTGACGTGGGCCACATACCAGTTGCGAAGCTAGCATAGGACCTCGTCGGACGAATTCTTCTTCATACAGGCCCCTGATTCTTTCATTATGTCTGGCCTCAATCATGCTAGTATTGTCTTTCCACTGACTCAAATTGCCAATAAGACATTGGACTGCCGTGTTTTTCACCTTGGCGCCGCTGATTTGCTGGACAGGCTCCTGAGCGAAGACTTCCCCATTGACCACCCAAAAAGGGCGGTTATGGAAGCATGATGCAATATCTGGGCAGAGGCTTGCTAGTTCCCAAGCCATTGTGCATGCTTGCCTATATTTCGTAAGATTGAGCTAGGAACTCTTGTCTCTCACTCCAAATCGAGGTCTGCTGCGCTTTCCAGAGTATCGGCTCAAGTTTTGGCCCGCACTCGAGTTGTCGAAAGGCCAGGCCAAACCATTTAGGATACAGCGCATACATACTTTCTTTCCATTAGAAAGCCGGCTGTCAATAGCGGCCGCACAACGTCATGGTAGAATCTGCGGTTCAACTCCAGTCCTGGTGTAGGTGGGGGCATGATTCACCGTATTTCAACAGAATGAATATTGGCCGGTCAAACACATTGGCAAGGTGATAGGGCGCCTTGATCGCAATTTGATGCTTGAGCGTTTTCTATACCACGTCTCGCACACATACCCTGGACGAGTCAGACCGATGTAGCATAACTGGTCCAAGGTGATTCACAGTTTGCAGATGGATATATGAGGAAATGTTCTTTTTTGTTCCAAATACATCACGCCCAACCCGGATATTCACATCGTCCATTTTCGTCACTGGTGTAGCAGAGGGAACCAATATTTTGTGTACGCCAAATGCCATAGTACTTGCTTTCTGAGCTACCAGACTCCTGCTCGCAGCAGTACCATCAAAAGATGCAAGCAAGCCACTGTAACACCATCCCAATGAGACCAAGAAATCCAACCCCTTACTCCTTCGTCTTCTGGGTACCACGCAACAGACCCGTCCTTCTGGCAGCGATAAGACCGGCCTTCTGACCCTGAGCGGCGTATCGGGAAATGGTAGACGCCTTACCAATGTGCTGGTGGTTACCCTATTAAAGTTGTCAGTATCAGTCTCAGATTGCACACCCCACTTGCCGGGAACACGTACACCACCGTGAGGATGGTCCACAGGATTCATGGCAACACCACGAGTCTTGGGCCAGCTGTTGCGCTTGACGGCGAACTTGTGCTTAGCGCGAGAAGCCTTGAGGAGAGGCTTGTCGGTACGGCCACCGCCGGCAACAATGCCGATCATACCACGAGTGGTAGAGTGAACGACCTTCTTAGCACCAGAGGGCAGCTTGATACGGGTCTTGCCCTCGTCAGGGTTGTGGCCAATGATGGTGACATAGGCACCAGATGTACGGCCCAGAGAGCCACGGTCTCCAATCTTCTCTTCGACGTTCGACACGACAGTACCCTCAGGCATCTCACCGAGAGGGAGGACGTTGCCGACGGTCAAAGCAGCCTTCTTTCCTGCGTAGATGAATTGGCCGGTATACATGCCTTCGTTGGCAATGAAAGTCTCGGAAACCTGCTTGTACTTGTAAGGGTGACGGAACGACACCTTGGCAAGCGGAGCACCACGACCTGAAGGAAAAAAGACCCCAGTATCAGCCTTCAATTCCCATATCCCAAACCGATATCCAAATGTTTTGCCATAGAAGGAAAACTAACCAGGATCGTGAATGATGTCCTTGACTACACCACGGACGTAGCCATGACGCTCGGCATAATCGAGGGTACGGAACTTGGCCGGGGCCTTGTTCAAGCGCGTGTTGGCCGCTATTTCCAAACGTTAGTAATTTTTGTCTCCAGGCGTTGTCGAAAATCGAGTTCGAGAAATTTCGCGGGCGGCACTGACTGAAAATGGATCCGCGACCCTTGCGCTGGTTGCGAATAACTCTACCCATGGCGGCTCGTGTGGACTCGATGCAATCGTTCGAGTAAACTGCTTGGAGCAGAAGCTGTCAGTAAATTGTCGAGCCGGGGGTGTGTTGTTGGGTTGAATTTACCTGGCTCCCGCCGCTTGGTGTTTTAGCAAAGAGGCGTTACATGCACATTCGGCGACAATTTTTTGTGTGCGGGACCATTTCGAGCGCTGGAGGAGCCCTGACCACGTGATCTCCGAGTGGACCGCGCAAGCGAGTAGTCGGTCCAATCATACGGAGTAGCTCCGGGTGAGTTTCGGGTGAAGTTTAGCCCCACTCAACAATCTGGGTTCGTGAGTTGATGTGGTATTAAGGTCTGCCGAAATGGCTATGGCCAAGCATACGCTATTAACAAATTCCTAGAACTGGAAGAAAAGGCCTCTGTCGTGATTTTATAATATTTAAGTAGACGACGGATTACTTGATGCTCTCCTAATTTCTCAACAATATGTCTGTTGCGAAGGACGATAGCAATTCCATCATAGCACAGTGTCCCAAAGTCACACTATGCGATATACTGTGCACCGAGGAGCCAAATTCTGCCGTGCGGCGCTTGACGCGAAATCGCCCCCGCGCCACTACGTCGTGTCATCTGAATCTCAAGCCTTGCTCATCGCAGTTGCAGAGGAACATCGGTTCTCGTTTGTAAAGACGCGCAATTCTCTCAAGATGGTCCATGTGATGCATTTGACACATTTGCTTCTTCTTTTCACACGTTTATGATGCTATATTTCGTTGCTGCTAACCAAAACTCAGTTCATTATATTGTCTCGAATCGCTGCCGCGTTTGGGTACTGAGATGACAAGAAGTCTCGTTCACAAGGTGGGCTGGCGATTTGCCGAGGCTGTGGTACCGGCCGAAGAATTGGGGCTCCCATATGTGACGATACCGTGGACAAAGGCTCACGGGTTGGCCAGGTCAGCTTGAGCCTGCCAAGTGGCGATCAAGATGGATTATCGCCAGAAACGTGCCTCAAAAATGAGATCAAGCACCAACCTCACACTCCATCGACCCTTGGAGTACTCGGCGGGCGGATAACGATTCATATCGCTGACCCGCCGTTGTGGCATTGTCAAGACCCCAAGTGCAGGGGTGAGGGGACTGGAAAGAGGCTCGATGCTAGGGAGACATGCGAAGAATGATCCCCATGCGTTCGATAGACATTGCCATGGAAATCAGTGTGAGTGAGGATACTGCTTGGTCCCATGTTTAAGAATGACCACTGTCTGTATAGGTTGGACTGCCTGAACAGTCGATCCCTGTTTGAGCGGTTGACGATAACCAAGCAATTGGGTTATTAGTCGCACTCGAAAGATGAGGCTCTCTTTCCTGGGAGTCATGAGCCGGTGCCTAGTTTTACGGGATTCACTGCGTCTGGGCCTCCGTTACGTCGCGATGGTGTCGTTGGTCCACCATTCTTTGGCAGCACTGGGAAAGCCTATTTCTTGTGCAACAACGAAGTCATTTCCGGAAGTTGCATGTAGATTCGATGTTGAATCTGGGCCTTTTGCTTCATACCCTGGGCATTCTTCGGTTGGTTTTTGAATTCACTGCTACACCCACGAACAAATGGACAGAGGACATCCCCCATCGTTTATATGTCATATAAAAGTCGGTAGGGATTCTATGAGGAACTTCTTGGTGGTGCACGGTTGATGACGGACTAAGATTGCACCTGTTGTTGTGCGGATGCTTACCATGGCATCGTGCTGGAACATTACACCGAATGGTTTGTACGAAGGATCCAAGGCACCACGCCAGTTGGCTCATTATGGCATGGCAAGGCAAGGCAAGGCAAGGCAGGTAAGGGAGCGGTAATACCAGCTGTCTCATTGTCTCAAGTCTGGACATTTTAGAAGGAGGTAGATTCGCTTGTAAGGCGTGCATAGAACAAAGACGTTTGATAGACCCCTTTGCTTATCCAATTGGGTTAACTCTGATTGCGGCTTGCGGCCGTGGGTTTTGCTAGTGCACGCTCAACAACGAGCAACCAAGACTTCCTGGCTTTCTTCACTTCTCCACAACACACCGCGACTCACTTCCTGTACTGCGGACAAACTCAACATGACTGCCGATGACGACTCGTCTGACCTTTCATCTTTGTCGTCGCTGTCGCCAGTGCCGTCGGACGTTGAGCTGGACGACAATAGCGATGACGCGACGACCAAGTCCAAGTCGGGCATCCTGAAGTTCTTCCCGAAGCTATCAGAGCAGCCGCCCAAGGAGCCATCGCCGCCACCACGTAAACGGTCAGCGTCACCGCCACATGAATATGTTCTTGCCGACAACCCTGATATTGCGGTAAGTAGAGAATAAGGGGGGGGATTCTTCTCTGACGCGTTGAAGCCGTATCTGCTCGTTGTCAGTCGGGAACGCGAAAGTCGCGTAGATGGCTACCCATGACGCGAATTCTTCGCGTGTTCAAATGTTCTGAATATGATCAACCGGCTAACTCACCAGTAGTTCATCGTCATGTTCAGAAGCCGGTTTAGCGACGCATTTCCGAAGTCCCTAGCTCATTTCGGGCCGCAGGAGCTAGAACGCGATGTCGTCGAGTCCATCCCCGGCGACCGAGTAGAACACCTTTTATGCGCAATCCTGGGCTTGCTCCTGAACCGAAAGCAAGACGTCAAGTAAGCCAAACAATTGAGAATTTCATGTTGGAAGGTTACTGATTGAAGTTAATTTGTCCCGCTTGTAGGCTGGGGCATTATGGCAGAGCACTGGAAGATGCGATCACGTCGCACAAGAACCAGTGGCCTGCTTCCTGGGAAGACAAGAACCCGTTGTCAGGCGGTGCGACATTCAACTTAATGACACCCACTGAACGAGTATGTGTGTCATGGTGTCCAGAGTGGTTCAAATTGCTAACATGGCGCAGCTAACGCTGTTGCGCACCCTCATCCTATGGGCAATGGCTTCCTCCGACACTGTCAAAGGTCTGATTAACCAGGCATACAAACAAAACCGTCAAGAAGACGATTTGAATCAGCCGAGATCAGTACAACCTTGGGGATCTGATGGAGACAAGCGACGGTACTTCTTGGTCGAAGGACAGGACGACACGAATTTTCGGATATATCGCGAGAGCAATCCGGCAGGCACAAATAGAACTTGGTTCAGTGTTGCTGGTTCCATTGAAGAAGTCAAGGCTCTCGCTGAAAAACTTGAAACGAAAGATGGTGGCCCAAAGGCGAAGAAGTTGAGTCAAAAGATGCTACAAGTCATTCCTCGGTTTGAGGCTGGTGAGGAGGTAAGAGTTCTACCAAAACAACACCCCGACTACCGCCATTACTACCACACACGTTACGTTGTAGCTCTGTAAAATTTTGAAATAGTCTGGGCTAACGGTTGTCACAGAAACGAAAACGCCGTGAATATCGCCAAATGCGAAAGGAGCAGTTCAAACGGCCAGAACCAGGATTCTCCATGTACGAAGGCCGTACACGAGGCAAGCGAATCAAGTACACATACTCGGATGACGAAGATGCTTTCTTTTCCGACTCTACCGGCTACAGGCGATCAGCTCGCAATACTGGGGCCAATACCCCTGCGGAGACCGGGCCAGTAACGACATCAAGTGGCAGACAAATTCGAGCACCACCACGGCTCAACATGGTGGTGGGTGATAGTGCTCCTGGAAGTATCCAAGGCGAAAATTCCGAACTGGAACATGATCATTCAGTTGGTGCATCTGGACGACCCAGACGCCCCGCAGCAAATCAGGACACAAATGGCTGGTCTGAGCGTAACTCTCGAGGTGATGGTACCGACGAGGAAAGCGAGGCTGAATTCGGAGACGATGAAGAAGACGCCCACGTGCCCGAAGAGTCCGAGGATGAGGATGACTTTGATGAAGAAGAAGCCATGGTCGAGGATGACCTCGATGATCAGCGCCAAAGTTTGGTTGTGAAACTCTCCGTCACTCCCCCTAAGCTGAGAACAGTTCTATCTCCAATGGATGAAGGTTCCAACATGCTTCCAACCCCAGACACACAGGATTGGAAGGTCGATGCCACCATCCCGGAGACCCGAACCGTTGAGATGCAGGATGTGCCGGCACCAGAGGCACATTCTATTCCATCGGAGCAGGTCAAGAAAGAGCCGACTCAAACAGGTTCAGGCGATGTGACAGAAAAGCTAGATGCCATTCGAGCTCCGACTCTATCTGCCATTCCTTCCACACCCTTGGCTTTTCGAGGGAGCCCTGAGAAGCCACATGCTCAACTGGAATCACCATTTGGCAATTTCAACGACACTACTTGAAGGGAGTTTCATGGCGTTGGGAAAACTGTTTTTATGGAGTTTGAGGGGTCAGGAAGTTATGTCTGTGATTAGAGTATACATGTACTATTTGATGATTACGTGCTTTCCGTCGGAGAGATGAGTGGGACGGGGAGAGGATCTGACCATATGTGCGGCCAGCTAAAAGGTCTCAGTATACGCATGGGCGGTGGGCATTGACCGCCATGACGCGCTGAAGACAATACACGACCAGGAGATAGTTCTGGGCTTTATATATTTTCCCTGCGTCCAACATAATGACGCCAGGCTTGCCTTTAGGAGAGGGCGCCTAATCTTCCAAGGCTAATGATACGAGGATACGTAAAAGAAAACTTTCAACATCAGTCAACAGGATTCAGTTGAATTAATTATGCCAAGACTATAACTTTCGCTTTTGTATCGTCCAATTATTAACACCATACCACCACCTTCGCACTCGTGAGCCAGCTGTGTTGCCATGTAATTTGGCAGTTCTATTCCAATGTTGCCAGCCACAGAGCAGCAGGTTATAAATAAGACCTTGGGCCAAGGGCATCATGACCTACACAGCGCATTACATTGTCAACTCACTCCCCGCAAGAGACAACATCGCCTCTAGAACAGTAACTTCTGATAGGCCAGCTTACCTGATCTCTTGCTGTGATAAGCAACACCTTCCACCAGGTATCGGCATTGGCGATGCTCCTCAAGTAACTCTGCTCGAACCGCAAGTCCGGTAAAGGAGGAAGACTATGTGACTTGCGGGTTGGGTGTAGAACACTGTAGGGTATGTCTTCCTCGTCGTCTTCGATGTCGTTTAGAAGATCGTCATCGCTGAGACGGGGACTGTGGAGGGTGACTGGTTCGCGCTTATCTGCAGCTGTGGAGGGTGCGATGTCGAAGTTGATGTCGGGATGGGATCTGATGTGGCCGGCTTGAATGGTCTCGGCGACCTCTGTTGGGAGGGAGTCCATCGAGAGCGGTTGGGATATGCTGTCTGGACTGAACAGCACTGCAGAGGGCCTGTCGTAGAAGGATGGCCCGCTTGATGAGATGGATTCTATCAGTGACGGAGTAACATGGGCCAAAAGGTAAAGCTGGATTAGACGTGCAACGTGCTGGGAACAGTTACGGCACTGGGGAGGTCCATTGCGGCGTTGCACGTCGGTAATGCCGGGCGGTAAGTCTGCGCGCAGTGAGGCAGGATTGTTATGTGGGTCTGTGGGCCGAAGCGCGGGAAGTCCCCTAGGGTAGTAGTTAATCACCAGGAATTACGAACTCGAGGCATGTTAATAAAGGATGCATAGAGTCATTGTGCCTACGAGGCTGGGGTTTAAGGGTAATAAGCAGACTTTCCCATGCTTGAAAATGTCGCAGCAGGCGATAGGCTGCCTGCCTGCCTAGTCCATACTTGACTTGAGCATTCAATGTTGTGTCAGGTCCACAATTGGGCTGCGGCATACTATTACTTAAGAAGTATGCAACGATGCTGGGCATAACACCAAAACCTGGCACTTGGGCGAACTTGACATGGACACTCTGCGATTTGTACAGGGCACTGGGTACTTGTACTTATTAAGTACTCTGTGTCTAGTGTTCCACTCAGCGCTTAAGACGTCAAGTGGTCAAGTGGTGTCTGGCCCCAGTGCCCGGTTCGGGATTTTAGGTACCTGCTTGCCAAGTACTAGCCGACGCGGACGCTGTGAGCCCACCAAGCGTCCACCCGGCGTTTGTTGGTTGCTCCGTACCTACCTAGGTAGGTACTTATAGTACCAGTACAGTCTGGTTAACTCAACCGCACTTGGTAAAAATCTCTTGGCCTTAAAACTTGAAATCTGGCTCCGGCATCCTACTTCACCAGTTTCTTCGCGTGCAGCACAGCGCCCATCTCTCTCCGAATTCCCTGCTTTTCTTATTTATCGCCCAAGGGAAAGCCCTGTCCCGCGGGACCAATCCAAATATTTTGTCTGCAAGGTCTTGAACAAACGCTATTACAATGTCCGACGCGCAAGCGAGCGAGGCCGAGAGGAACGTGAGTCTTGTCACCCAGAGGAGGGAAAAAAATTGTGCTCTACGCTATGTGGTCGGTGTCAGCGACGGCCAGCCCCTCCTCTTTTGGGCTCCCCGTTGGCTCTGCCCCTCTCTTTCTGTCTGCCTGTAGGCCCAGTCGGTGCTGCCCCGCGATGGCAGAGCACCAACCGTGACCAAGGGCCACCTGAAGCCGACGAAATAACAAACTTGGTGCAGAATATCGAAGCTAACAATCGCTCCCGATAGATTGAGATCTGGAAGATCAAGAAGCTCATCAAGAGTCTTGAGGCTGCCAGAGGCAATGGAACCTCCATGATCTCCCTCATCATTCGTATGTCTCCCCTCTACAGTGTCAACAGCCGCCCCACCACATTCCCATACTGATGTAGCTTGAAACTTCAGCTCCAAAGGATCAGGTGTCGCGTGCAGCCAAGATGTTGGCTGAAGAATACGTAAGTCGAAACGCCTACTGTAAAGAATGGCCCTCATATTATAGACCGGCGTTGACATGGACATCTCTTTAGGGTACTGCGTCGAACATCAAATCGCGCGTTAACCGACAGTCCGTCTTGTCCGCTATTACCTCGACCCAGAACCGTTTGAAGCTGTACAACAAAGTTCCCCCCAATGGTCTGGTCATCTACTGTGGCGAAATCCTGACCCAGGAAGGAAAGGAGCGAAAGGTCAACATTGACTTCGAGCCCTTCAAGCCCATCAACACCTCGCTGTATCTTTGCGATAATAAATTCCACACCGAAGCCCTGGCTGAGCTGCTCGAGTCTGACCAGAAGTTTGGTTTCATCATCATGGATGGTAATGGTGCTCTCTTTGGTACTCTTAGTGGAAATACCCGCGACATCGTTCACAAGTTCTCCGTCGATTTGCCCAAGAAGCACGGACGTGGTGGTCAATCTGCCCTGCGTTTTGCTCGTCTTCGTGAGGAAAAGCGTCACAACTACGTCCGCAAGGTCGCCGAACTCGCTGTGCAAAACTTCATCACCAACGACAAGGTCAATGTCGCTGGTATTGTTCTTGCTGGTTCTGCCGACTTCAAGAATGACCTGAATGCCTCTGACATGTTCGACAACCGTCTTCAGACCAAGGTCATCAAGGTCGTTGATGTTTCATACGGTGGTGAAAACGGATTCAACCAGGCCATTGAACTTTCTTCCGAGACTCTTGGAAATGTCAAATTTATTCAGGAGAAGAGGCTCATCGGCAAATACTTCGAGGAAATCAGCCAGGATACTGGCAAGGTGTGCTACGGTATCGACGATACCCTGAAGGCTTTGGAGCTTGGTGCCGTCGAGACCCTCATCATTTTCGAGAACCTCGAGATTACCCGCTGGGTTCTGAAAGATAGCAATGGCGAAGAGGTGATCCTGCACCTGTCAAAACAACAGGAACAGGCCAATCGCGACAAATTTCTGGATTCTGCTACTGGTCAGGAAAAGGAAATTATCGCCCAGGAGTCCTTCCTTGAGTGGATTGCTGAACACTATAAAGAATTTGGTGCTAATCTGGAATTTGTGTCGGACCGTTCAACTGAGGGTAACCAATTTGTCAAGGGCTTTGGTGGCATTGGCGGCATTCTCCGCTACAAGGTCAACTTTGAACAGTTGGCTGATCTCAGCGACGATGATGAATACTATGACGACTGACCTGCGGATCCCCTCGTGGCGAGCGAGGGACCTGCTCAAGTTGAACCGTCTGCACAAAACGAGGATGATGTACGCCAGGACGACGACGACGACGCCGCGCCGAAACCGACCAATGCCGCGCCGCTGTCATTTGCTCAGAAGCGCTTGATGCAAAATGCCGAGGCTGGCACTTCAATGCAAGGCCACAAGGCGTCGCGACCAAGTCCACTTCGTTCAATGATGACGGCTACTTGAGCTGATTGATTCGGCAGAAATCGAGGTAAGATACTGCTGTCTCTAGGGTTTTGCTTTCTTGGTCACTCCAGTCTCACACGCAACATTGCAGGTGCTACCTGGAATATCCGAGGCAAGGTTGATTGGATGGCGGGTCGAAAAGGAGAGAGGCTGCAAAGAAGAGTTCGAAATTGTTCTTGAACTCGTGAACTGCTCCTAATATGTCAGAAATGGCTGGCGGTACTTTTACCGTTTGGACTATGCATGTGCCTAGCTTTATTACTTGTCTCGAAATTGCATTCAGCAACCTGGCGAATAGCTGCCGATAGAATTAGATAGCCTTCATTATCACAGTCGCTCTCTTTTTATTTTTATTTTTTAATATATTCTCGTACGAAATCAATCCCATGGGTAGTTTAGTCCGTTGCCTCTTACAGCTGGTTGTTGATTGGTGCACTCCGTACGCACGTAAGGCGACATGTGTCCGCGCCGCGTGGGGCGCGGCTTAAAGGTGCACGTCACCTCGAACTCAGTGGGTCGGCGTCTCACCACAGCTTAAGGTCTAACACCTCCTAGGTACCTGCAGCAGTTGCTGGTTAAGCTGCATCTCCTTTGTCTCGCCATTCTTTCTTCTCAACAACGATCCTGCAGATTTATATTCTACGGGCGCGACGGTGCCCCGGAGCACAGGTAGCAGTGCTACTGGAGAACCTCACGCCGCATTCACCTTATCATCATGCCTCTAGCTGCACCAGTCGTGACGACTGGCCCGCCCCGGCCGACTGATCGTGGTGTGCCAGTTGGACTAAATGAGGCTGCTCTCGACTCACCGACGTTCCGCGCAACCGCCAGCCACTTTACCGAGCAAATCGAAGCTGTTGAGAAATGGCTCAATGGCTACGTGAACTCGACATCCAAGTTCGCCCACGAGATCCAGGGGCTCGAAGATACCATCAACACATATTTGACGAAGACGATGCCGTCGGCCGCCGACGGAATCATTGAGAATGATTACGCTTTTCTGGCCTTGAAACGAGTTGGCGATGGCCAAAGAGAATGTTGGCAACAACTATTAAGCAGCGTTAAGAGAATGGACACTGCCGTTATAGATCCCATTCGGAACTTTCTCAGTGGCGACATGCGAAATTTCAAGGAAATACGGAGGATATTAGAGCAATCGCAAAGGGCTTACGATTCAACTCTCGCGAGATATATAGGGCAGTCAAAGACAAAGGAACCCTCGGCCCTTCGGGAAGATGCTTTCTCCGTATACGAGAATCGAAAAGCGTATATCCAGGCGTCGCTAGACTATTGCCAGCTTGCCCCTCAGCTCCGACTAGCAACGGATAAACTTTTGGTCAAGGTGTGCAATGAGATATGGAAAGATTTGACACGATCGAGAGACGCCGTAGTGAATGCTACCAGATGGACCTGGGAAATGGACCGTGTACGTGGATGGGCCAAGGAGATGGAGGCTTCAGAGGGCGTCTTTCGAACGGAGCTACAAGCTATGAGAAGGGAGTTGGGAGAGACGACTCTTGAGGGCTTCAAACCTTCGAGAGAGCTCGAAGATTACAGCGCATCCACGGTGCCGTTTTTGGGCTCCCGGGGACCTCTCAATTTGCGACCTAAGGATGGCACTGCGGTCATATCAGAGAAACAGGGCTGGTTGTTTTTGAGGACGATGTCAGGTAAACCGGTTCGGTACACCTGGACTCGGAGGTGGTACTACTGCCGTGACGGCGTCTTTGGATGGTTAGTGCCTGGGCCTCAAGGAGTACTTCAAGGCGATGAAATAGGCGTTTTGCTTTGCAATGCCAAGCCTGCAGTCGGCGAAGAGCGTCGCTTCTGTTTCGAAGTCAAAACGAAGAACCAGACCATGATGGTACAAGCCGAGAACCAAAGGGAACTCATGGAATGGCTTGAAGTTTTCGAGGCTACCAAGAAGAAGGCGTTCGAAACAAGTATGAGCAATAATGATAACTCTGTTGCTGGTGGCACTGACCCGGCCTTCTCGATACACCCACCCAGCGCTCCGGAGTTTTCAGCCAAGGCCTTTGATAACCCGACGGCCGCCGTTGATGACGCTGGCCCCGGGTTTGACCGAAGCGCTACTCTTTACATACCCGGGCAAGATGTACATGTTGGAGCTCGTCACAGTGTTGACGTTAACAATGCAAGTTTGGGCCGGCGCTCCTTTAGTGCGCTGGGAAGAGATTTGGCTCGAGAAGATGACGAAAGCAGGCGAGATCATGCTGCAAGAATCATTCAGAAACTGGACCTTCATAGAAAATCGACGTTTGGACCTGGGGTCGAGCCCGTGCCACTGAGCCCAGGTATGCCAAACAACGGTATTGCGAGTCTCATATCTGCCAGCCATAACCTGCTACCCGCTCACCCGGGGACGCAGGTATCTGCCAGTACTCCTAAGCAACCTTCGGGATTTCTGCCATCGCTGGATACCCCTCCGGGATCTCTTGCTCCCTTGACTTTGGCCAAACCACCGGCTACAACAAGCCTAAGTCGGGCAGCTGTGCTCTTGACCGCTGAGAAACGTTCTGTGTCCAACAGCAGGAAATTGCCAACGTCAGTCGTTGCAAATTACTGGGGCAGCAATGTCTGGGCTACGATTAATACGCCTGAGCAGCCAGTTTTGCCAAGACGCGACGATGATGATCCAATCGGTGTGGTTCTGGCGCAAAACTCGGAGACCAGTCTCCCTGGAGCTGGTAGCCAAGGCCATACTAGCCGTCCACTTCCACGCAATTATCCAACGGAGCTGAGAGCTCAAAATGCCCAATTTCGCCTGCTTTTCCCGAATGCGCCGCTAGGAGAAAATCTAGTCTTGGTCTTTCGTGCGGCGTGGTCGAGTTCCAAAGCACGAGACTCCCCAAGTGACACCCTTGCTGGAGACGGTAGAATTTATGTCACACCTGATAACATGTATTTTTACAGCCAACAGATGGGCCTCGTCACAGCGTACAGCATCAGTCTCGACATAATTACAGAGGTGACAAGTGCTGCTGGGAAGGACTGTGACTTTATCTTCATACATCTTGGCCAAGACACAAACGAGACTGGCTATACCCGCATTACTATCAAGGTGTTCTTGGACGACCTCCACCTCCTCCATACTCGCCTGAACCTACTGGTGGATAACTTGCAAGCCGAGGAACCCATGGATACACAAGATATTATTTCAGCGTTGATCAACGTTGAGAAGGAAGAATTTGAGCGGCCTAGCCCTGGCGCTGAAAGCTGGGAAGGCTTGTCGCCGATCTCACCCATTGATGATGGCACCTCTTCTGGCTTGCCATTACCAAGAGGCCAGCGTGAATACGGGTCCCATCTTCATCCGTCCAGGTCGCCGCTACGACCCCCAGGAAAGCTACATCTCCCGTCACGACCCGTCATCTATGAGCCCGAGAGCATGACACAAATGGCTGCCGAACGGCACTTCGAAATTAGTGCCAAAGCATGCTTCCATGTGCTTTTCGGCGATAAGAGTTTCGTCTTTCCCAAGCTCTACTTCGAGCACCGAGCCCAGCAGATTGCGCAGGGACCTTGGGTGCTTGTTGATCAAGGACAAATGCGGCGAGAATTTCACTTCAAGGTGGATTGTGTTGATATGCTTGGCCGGAAGAAATCGGAGAATGTTATCGACTACCAGAGTATTGACGTATACAGTGACCATGTCACGTACGTTGTGACCCATATCAAAACGGCATGGCATCTGCCTCATTCGGGTAGCTTCAAGCTGGTGACGAAAATTGTCATTACACACGTGGCAAAATCTAAATGCAAGCTCGCTGCGTACGTCAAGATTGACTGGTCCAAAACGCCAGCACTCTCGAAGAATTTGGTTGAGCGGCAGGCTCTGCGTGACGCTATCAATGATGCAGAAGAAATGGCAGAATTGGCGACAGATCAAGTTCGTAAGCTGGGACCTCGAAGCCGAACGAATAGAGCCATCCAGGTATACGGCCATGTCGGCCAGCAGACGCAGGTGGTTGTGTTTTCGCCGGCGGCTGCGGAGTCGAGCAAGAAGCAAGCGATCAAGCCACGTACATTAACGGCCATGCTATTCGAAACCGTCCGGTCGTTCGGAGAGAGTGCAGTCTCTTCACTCATTATGTGGGCATTTGCGGGATTGAAGACACTCTTTGGCATCATTACGGCGCACCGGGTCATTGTTATCCTTTTGGGCTTGAGTGCCCTGATGAACCTATTGTTGACTTCGGCAGAGTCTTCGACCTGGTGGAAAGAGCGCAGCGCGGCAAGATTTATGCGACGAATCGGTGTAGCACCTAACCCAATGATGAGCAAAGCAATTTACTTTGCGGATCTGGATGAGGCTACCGGTACTCACGGGCATGAATTGAAGTTTCCCAAGAACAGTTCATGTTTCGGCACGTATAAGAGCCTCTTGGACACAACTGAGATTGACATTCCGTGGGATGAAGCCGGCGCCACGCTGTCATCGCCGTCGAGTCGAGCGACTGCACGAAGACTGCGACGAACGAGGCAGCGTTTAGGATCATACCGACACGACTTGGTGGTGGCGATGCGCGTAGTCAACAGCATAGAGAGGGAGATGTTGCAGTCTGAATGGGAGAATTGGTTAATCAATGAGAAATCGCTGTGCGACGACCTCGACCTGGTGCTGGTGGAAGATGGCAAGGACGAATTAGCCAAGGGCAGCTCACAGAATCAAAAGATGATGGGGTCATTGACGGGAAGTCGGAAGAAGGCATTGCAGCAATGGAGAGATGATTATTGTGGCAGCTGCCGACGGGATTTCGAATCTGTCATCAAAGAGAGAATAGTAACGGGGGTGTAACTGTATGCATGATGAGGGTTGAAAGCCTTCAGCATGAGATTGGCTTGTCTTTATTCATTCTTTTTTTCTTCTTTTCCCGCTGGACATGAGGCAGCAATGATTGTAGCATATTATCATTATAAGGTGGGTGTACTCCGTACTATAGACGATACCGGCGCCATGTATTGGCCCCCAACGACAATCAATTTGATGTTGGTTTCCCTTCTCCGGTGGACCTTCAGCCCAAGACGCCGAGCACAGTCTTGGCTCACATGTAGCGGCACATGGCTCTTTTTGCTGGCGCATAGATTGATGATGGGGGGCCGGATGTGCCGAAGCTCTCTGGTCAACGTGGCTCCGAAACGGGCTCATGTACTCCACCGATGTCCGCACTTCGCACCTCGCACTCGGTAATCAAGCGCAAACGCTGACTAACGGTGACGGTTGGAACATGGATGTGACGTCAAAGAGGCCAGTTGAACCACTCTCAATGGAAATGGAAACAAGTCAAGTTGGAAAGCCCACACAACTGCCGCCTCTTCCGCCCCTCCGTCCTTGAGCAAGCTTAGATCCAGACTTGATCAACCGAGACACCACGACAAGGCTGCCCTGATTATCCTGTGATTTCCTGGAATCTTCCCTTCTCCATTCTCCATTTTCCAATCCGACCACCCCTCCCCCCGAATTCTCCGCACACCACTCATTAAGCTATGTAAGCTGGCAACTGGTCCTTCCCCCCTTCTTCCTCTTCACATCTTCACCTTTTTTTTGCCTGCTCTCTGCCATTCATCTTGGTCTCTACTCCCTCTGGACACGGCTGACCAACGAAGTAGCCTCCGACCCGCGAAAAGGCATGTCGTCGTCGTCGTCTTCGTCGGCGTGAACAAAATTCGCGGTGCCATGGCGAGCCATCATCTGCCGCTTCAGGCCCTGGCGCCCATCAGTTGGAACGACGTACCACGTCAAGACTTCCAGTCCTTTCTAGACAGCACCTTTCAAGACGCCCACGTCATCATCGACTCAGTTCCCTCCACTGTGACACCCGCTGCAAAACCACCTTCCACAGGACGAGCTCGAGCAAAGACCGATTCCGCTTTAGTATATACAGACATCCAACGATCATTATCGTTGCACCAATCGCCCGCTGCTGCTGCTTTATCTGCACAATTGCGGAAGGAGTGGAAGGAGATCAAGACAAACCCCAAAGATAACCCCCTGGGCATCACCGTGCACAGGTTAGCTGCGAAAGATGGCAAAGGTGCATGGTTTGCTAGGCGCAGTGTCCATGAGGGCTTGTCCTTTGAGCAGTGGAAATCGGGACTCGAGAGAGAGTTTGCTGAGACCATGAAGGTGCAGGGATCACCGGGAAGCGGCAATATTCGCGGAATTGGCGCTGATAGAAATGTTGAGCATCACGTCGTGGATGCGGGTCATGTCGATGGTAGCTTACCCCCTCCCCAATAGCATATAACCCGAGTTCGCTGACGAATGCTCGTTACGCAGTGTTTCAACTTTCTGCTCAGTTCCCTGGCCCAACAGCCCCGCGGGACTTCATCACACTACTCCTCACATCCGACTTTTCACACATAAAGTCTGACCAACAGCAACAACAACCACCTTTACGGCAATATATTGTGGTGTCGAAGCCATGTGTTCACCCTGATTGTCCTCCTCGCCAGGGCATAATTCGAGGTCAGTACGAATCAGTCGAAATCATACGGGAAGTCCCCATTCATGGTGATGCCGCCGCAAACAAGAGATCCTTCTCTTCGGCCGATTTGCTGGCTGACGACAGTCGCAAATCAATGTCCCCTAGTCGATCTAGCGATGACCTTCAGACGCCTCGAGCGATTGAGTGGCTCATGGTGACGAGAAGTGATCCTGGTGGTAGCGTGCCACGGTTTCTGATCGAGAGAGGAACCCCCCCGGGTATCATTGGTGACGCAGCCAAGTTCCTGGATTGGGTCTCGTCGACAACCCTTAAGGATGGTACCCCTCGTTCTGCCCAGGAGACCGATCAGCGCAATAAAAACAACGAGAACCCTGGCAATGGCAGTGCCAATGGAAATGTTCCGGCCGTGACAATTAATGATAATGCCCGAACACCACCAGAGATGTCTTTCAATGACGACCAAGATAGCAGAGATCATGAACAAGGCTATGGCGAATGGATACCGAGCAGCACTGGTCTGTATGGAATAATTAGTGGTGCATTTGGTGTTGCAGGCTCTATTGCTTCTGGCCTGCGATCACAATTCAGCAATCCACTGAGCTTCAACAGCAGTCAGGACAGCTTAGCGGATAGCCAGCCTATACCCGAAGAAGATGAAAACGAAGACGACAACGCATCACAAAGCGACACATCTTCTACGCGCAGCTTCACATCCGCACCGGAGAAAACTCTGACCCGTGAAAAGGCACCTGATAGCATAACTGGCAGCGTTTCTGACGAATCAAAGTCGCAGCGCCTACAGCCAACAGAAAAAGATCTCCAGAGGCTTGTGGACCGGCGCCAAAAGCTACAAAGGAATTACACTCAGTTCCTGGAGCGGATGGAAACAAAACGTCTTGGCGAGAAAGAGAAAGACGCTGCATCGCAAGCTAAACACCGCGAGAGAATCGACAAGGAAATGGCCAAGCGAGAAGCTAAGCATAACCGCGACATGCGAAAGCTCGAGGAGAAGCGTGAGCAGGAGGAACGAAAGGCCGAAGCGCGGAGGAAAAAGGCCGCTGAGAGAGAGGAAAAATCTAGCCTGACGCTGGCGTTGGAGAAGGCCAGGGCGGACAACGATGTTGCAACGAAGCAGATCGAGTTGCTGCGTGGTCAAGTCGGGGAGCTCCAGGCGCAGAACACTATGCTTGTGGCAAAGCTGGGGCGTATGGGGGCATTAAATAGGGAGGACTCGTCATCTTCAAAGACGAATTCTATCAAGTCATTGAAATCTTGACGTACAAACTGGAGCATTTCAGATACGAAGCGTGTTGATTTCCGGAGTTTGGTTGATGTTCCAGAGGGGGACGTATTGGAAAAGAGACATGCATTTATGACAATATTCACAGCACACGCTGAACGATACAGCACAATGGATTTGAGGAAAATCATTTCTTTAGCAAATAGGCTTATTTTTTTTCTTCATATATCCAATTGTATGCAAACGTGTCTAAAAATCTATCCATGCTTCTGTCAGTAACTTCGATACCCTCGTGCTCCTCGATCGTAGCGCCTCTTTTGCCAAAGCAACACCTTGTTTCAGCTCCGAGTGTTTGAGTTTCCTACCCAATGCCACAGAGCAGCGGATTATCCGTGTGCAAATAGCAAATGCTGTCGGATTGGAAGCCCACCCCAAGGGCCCGTCTTCCAATTCAGCAAGTCTGGCAACTTGCGCAATCCCACCCTGAACCCAACTTGCCAACTTGTCCAAATGTTCATCCTTCTCATCCCATTCAAGGGTCTCGAAGACCTCTACCCACCGCTTTGTCTCACGCACCTCATCAATAAACAGGTTATTCTCCTCGACCACAAAGAGCGAATCATCAAATTCAAGTGCCCGCGCAAGCTCAATCTCTGCTGATTCCCAGCTCTCCAGCTTTGTAGCCTGTACGCCAAAGTACCCGACTAAACGGTCTGCTATAATTGCCTTGAATTCTGGCGCGGTGCCGAATTGTGTGCCGAGGAATTGGAGGAGGCGGTTTGCTGCCTCGATGGGCACCAGGGCTGCGCCGATGACGGAATTCGCGGCCAAGGCAGCTACATCACGGACCTCGTCGTCGTCGTCGTTCAGGAGGTCGTAGAGGGAGAGGAGAGCGGGAAGGAATACTGGGGAGGTCGGGGGTGAGGCGGTGAAGAAGGAAGCGAGGGATAAGGCGGCTGCAAAGCGAGTGTCGAATGTCTGTGGTGGTCAGCAACTCGTCGTTACCAGGCATGTTTTTGCCTTACCTTGTTGTCCAGAGCGGCCTCGGCCATGATTTGGCCCCATGAATGGATATTGACGGGTGTAGGTTGCTCGGGACGGATTAGGGCTGCTATGACAGAGCCGCTTGCTCTGATGACTGCGTTAGAGAGAGCTGGGTTCATGGGACGAGCCGGTAGATCCAGCCAGAGTTTAACCAATGCATCTCTAGGGATCTTGTCAATGGCCTTTTGCTGGAGGAGCTTGTCTATGGTGTCGGCTAGATTTTCTACGGCGAGGACTTGGGCTTTTGAATAGTCGGTTTGCAGACAGACGTTGACGTATAGATTAGATAACGAAGCCAGAGTATCCTGTGAACACAACGACGGGTCCCATACTTTGGGAATGATTTCAAGAGCGGCTACCAGCCCGTCGAGGCCGACTTGCTGGCTTTGAAGAAGAGACTGAAGCTGTGACACGGGTTCGTCGAGTGTGGATAGGACGTACACATCGTGAATGGCCCTCTGGATTTTCAGGAGAGCAGACCCTCTATTTCTGGGCATGGTGATGCTAAATGGAGATAGTGGGTGCTTGTTTGTCGTTTCAAAGAACCAGATCATGTTTATGACTTCGAGATATGTAGCGATGATGTCGGGGCAGTCAGGGAAGCAAGTGTCTACTTTGGTTTGGACAAGGAAGGAGTGGAGTTCTGGGAGATCAACTGGATAATGGAGTCAGCTTATTATTATTCCAAATGGACTACAAGGGGATACATACCCAGCAGTCGTTCACGAGCAACTTCGCTTAGTCTCTCAATGACAAACTTCAGAGTCAAAAGTATTCCATGGACATGGTTCGGCTTATTCCTCGATTTGCTAGTCATTGCAGCATCGAAAATACCTCTGGTAACCGCCAACCACTTTTCATGCAGGAGACAGGAGCAAAGCGTACGCGCTGCCATGTCGCGGACATGCCACACAGGACTGGACAGATATGCCGTCACATCGACTTGAATTTCGTCCCGGAGCAAATCTGGAGGCCCCGCTCGACGGATGATGTCCAGAGCAGGAAACACAGACTCTGCAGCAGCCGTGGCTGAAGTAGACGATTCAGAGAGGATACTGTGCCCAGATTGAAGGAGGTTTTTGAGCACGCCAGGCAAATTGGGGTATCTGTGGTAATGAATGCGGTTTGCTTTGCCATCCCACCCGGCTTCAATCACGGCTTTGCTTTCGTGAGTCCCAAACAAGCTGTCAATGAGGCTTCGCAGAAAAATGAGGCCACAGTTCCGGATGGCCCATACCTCGGATCGTAGGCCGCTGGCCGCAAGTTCTAGACATTGGGGCAAGTAGGATTCGGACTTGTTCCCCAGCGCTGTGAGGAGAGAGTTTTTGAAGATATCTTTGAGGCAGTTGTATGCGTGGACTTGAGGGAGCCTGGATCCGTCGGTTTCCGAGACCTTGGCCTCTCTGGCTGCTATGGCCATGAGGGTGTCCATGACTTGCGCAAAGTTGGGGTGGGAGGCGTTTGCTGCGAGGATTCCGGTGATCATCGATGGAATTCCCGCGGACCGGCGCGTCGTTGATGCTTGAGAGTCGATTGCACTCAGTGTACCCTGAGTTAATCAGCGAAAATACCACGCCACATCATGTGTAATAGTTTCGACTTTCATTTGCTTACCTCGTACCAAATGTCCAACAGAGTTCTCTCGTTTTGTTCCAATTGCAGATATTTCGTCTGCTGGCAGCAAGTCGCAAAAGTAGACGAAACTGTGGTGAACGCGCCTCTGTGACGCAAGTTTGCTAGCTGCGTAAAAGTCAGGTTTCCGATCCTCTCGAATACCTCCTTTGAAGGGATGATCAGGCCATTTCGGGACCTATTTTGAATTGTGAGGATAATCGTGCGCATAAGATTGCTACAAAATAGATCAACAGCAGTTCCCAGAAAACCTATGATGCAGCAGCAGTGTATAGCATACCTTGACTCGTGAACGGAACGGAAACTATAACTTAATAGATCTTTGGTATCAAGTCCGTCTACTTCCTCGAGTTCCTGAGGCAAGTGTCCTTCAGGAGAATCATCGCACAGAACATCTCGGACGGCTCTCCATGCTCGCTCGCAGCATGATACAATGTCCCGCTGGAGTTTATTCGCCTCAAGCAATTCGACTTCAGAGAGTTTGATCTCAGAAACAACCTGCCACGTATGGCATAGTGAAGCAAAATCTCCATGAAGAGGTGCGTTGACGACGGCTTGACCAAGATCCTTCTCTGCCATGGACACCTTGCGGTTCAACTCATTGACCATAGCTGCCAGCAATTTGATTCTTTCATCGCCTGATTCGAGAAATCTATAAAGCAATTGGGACGATTTCGAGGCGCCGTCAGAGTGATCAGCCCTGGCTGTTCGGCGAACAAGCTCATGAGCCCGTTGTGACAATTCGGTAATTTCCTCGACGGGCAGTTTCGTAATTTCTAACCCTGTGAGTGTAAGCCGGCGATATCGACCGTCGGCGTAGCATTTTGCTAGAGCCGTTGCCGACAAATCTCTGACGTCCTCAAAGGGATTCATGACCAAATCAAACAATGCTCGTGCCCATTTGGCATCCAAACAATTGAAGAAGAGTTCCTGGTCGTCAGATGTCTCCCAGGTTTTATTCGAATCTCCTTCCAAGCGTATTATGTACATTAATGCCTTTAGCGCTGCAATATGCCTCTGGTACGACGCAGTTGGACTTAGCTCCTCGCACAAGAAGCCTAGATACCAACGGAGAAACTCGACATGATAGTCCAAACAGTTAGCCAACTGGGCTTCGGGTAAGGAGATCAGATTCGATTGGTAGAAAATAGGCCGTGAAACGGCATCCTTGTCAACCGAAGGAGGAGCGTTCGCTTTCTGCGCCTTGGCTCGAGCTCGCGGAATGCTACGCTTCAGCACGTGAATAGCACCACGAACTCTCCTGAACATGTCGCGCGCCTTGGACGCAACTTCCACTCTAAACTTGGCATCTGGATCGGCAAAGAATGTGCCCATGTACTTTCTCAGGAGATCAAGTGCGACGGGGGAGTAAGGTCGTGTGGTGGAGGGTGATGTAACAAGTAAAGACAGTGCTAGAGATCGAACTTCATGAGAAGGATGGGCCAATACACTCTCCAGGACCTTTTCGTGTAGCGTTATAGATGAGTTGTGCTCTGCCTGGTCGTTGACGCTTCCGAGGGCTAATCAACAAGTTATTAACACTCTTCTGTCGGTACCAAATGATTGTTGAACGATTGAACGACTTACCAGGTTCCTCAATAAGACCAACTTTCTTTCCAGTCTCCAGTGCCGCCAATTGAAGAAGCGCGGGAACCTCCAAGTTCATCCCACTCGCTCCAGAAACTGCCTGGTCCTCATTCATACGTCCCAAGAACGCCAAAGCTTCCGACCTATCAGCTTTGAATAACGGCAAAAAGATATAATTCTTGATAGACTCCAGAAGTGTGGGTTCCTCAGAAAAAGAGTCAAGCAGCCATTGATGCCATATCTCGATGCTAGGAACTGCTCCTACATCCTGCCCCTGTCTCCAGAGACGGTATATGGACACAATCAACTTGCCCGCCGTGGGACGTACAAATTGCAGATGCATCCAGTGAAACAATTCCACAATAAAGTTTCGCCATATTTCAACTTCACCCTGTGTTCGTATATCCGTTCGAAAAGACACATACGTCGAACGAATGTCGCACAGGCTGAATACTCCTTTCGATAGGAAGTGATCTAGCGTCTTAATCGCAGATTTGGCAACGGGCTTGGTAGAGCGTCCAATAACAATTGAAATGAGACTATCCGAAACATATTTTTTGGCCTGCAATGCGGCATCCCGAACTGGGTTCTTGAGAATGCACCGAGCAACGAGGTCGAGCACCAGTTTCATGGACCTATGTTTGTCCGACTCATTCCACTCAATGTAAAAGTTGAACAATTTCAACATCACCTCTTGTGAGAAGGCCCATAGACGTAATTCATCAGATTTGGACACAGAAGACTGCTCGACAAGTCCGCAAAGTCTCAGACAGGCCTGTCCGGACATTGATTTGGGCTGAGCCGCATCCTTGAGCAGCCTTTCAAAGAGGAGATTTGCATGGCTACGGCGTATAATTAGTCAAGTTTCTTTTGACTTTGAGAAATTACAGAGTACTGACCTTCTCCCCAGTTCCGCATCTTCATGTTCTAGCCACTTTACCAACTCAACCGGGCTGGCCAATAAATCAGTAACCTCTGCAGGAAGCACAGGCTTCACCATTTCAAATTGTACCGATTAAATTGCGACCGCGATTGAATACATAACCAAGTCTGGGACCAGTGTGTCATCACCAGCAAAAGGCCATAAGGAATGCCATCTACACTATAACCGTGGCCACCGTCTACAATACCATGAAAAATGTCGTACGTACCTCGAGGCATGCGGCTCGGAAGTGGTCACGTGTACCCCCACGTGAGAAAATTTTGCCCTGCCGCACACATCCCACCACCAATTGCTGTGAAGTGTGCAGGGTCCCCACACCCCAAAATCACCAAAATCCCCAATCCCACCTTCGGTCTTCCAAAACCCTTCCACAACAAGACCTGTCCTGATTTACCATTAGATAATATTGAATCTATTGGGAGACTGCCAAAATGTCCAAGATCACAGTCGGTACGTTGCAGAATACATCCGACTCTCGATGCGCCTTATCGATGCGTAATCGCAACACCACCCACACAGTCGTCGCTGATCACGCACTACAGCCAATGTCCGGACGCAAGTCGCCGAGCTCTTGGAGTACTCCAACGAGACCAAGAAGCGCAACTTCTTGGAGACGGTCGAGCTCCAGATCGGCCTGAAGAACTATGACCCCCAGCGTGACAAGCGTTTCTCCGGCACCATCAAGCTGCCCAGCGTTCCTCGCCCCAACATGGCCATCTGCATCTTGGGTGACCAGCACGATATCGACCGTGCCAAGCACGGCGGTGTCGACGCCATGTCCGCCGACGACTTGAAGAAGCTGAACAAGAACAAGAAGCTCATCAAGAAGCTCGCCCGCAAGTACGATGCTTTCCTCGCTTCCGACGCTCTTATCAAGCAGATCCCTCGTCTCTTGGGTCCCGGCCTCTCCAAGGGTAAGCAACATCTCCCTCTCTCCGCCACCAAGGATCCTCACCGCTTCTTCCTACGCAAGGCGGAGATTGTCTCGCTCCTCGGTGCTAATACTCGATGCAACAGCCGGCAAGTTCCCTACCCCTGTCTCCCACTCCGATGACCTCAGCGGCAAGATCACCGAGGTCAAGTCCACCATCAAGTTCCAGCTCAAGAAGGTCCTCTGCATGGGTGTCGCCGTCGGAAACGTCGCCATGGAGCAGGAGCAGCTCATTGGCAACATCATGCTCGCCATCAACTACCTCGTCTCTCTTCTGAAGAAGGGCTGGCAGAACGTTGGCAGCTTGACCATCAAGGCCTCCATGTCGCCCCCCAAGCGCCTGTACTAAGTGGCCTCAAAAATGACGGTTCAGTTGTGCTTGTTTTGGGGGTTCTTTGATCTGAGTGAACTGGCCAGGAGTTGCTTAGACTAGAATCTCAATACAGGAGTCAAGTTGTTGCATTATAGGTTCCTCCCTCTTGCTGTGATATCTGCCAAGTTGTAGTTGTAGGTACAACAGGCCAGCGACCGGATCTCTGGTGGCGCTGACATACCACGGGCTTTGAAAACGACGCTATGTCTGCAGTATGGCACGCTTGAGCACATGACACATGAGGTAAATGGGTACATATTGTTACGATATATGTTCAATATTCTAGCTTGAATTACTTAATTTTTGACAGCTTTTGGTTACCCTCCATGCAATCAAGCCCCGTCGGCCAATCACCCGCGACAGCGTATTCCAAATACCATCATCCCCAAAATCGAGGTCGTCCAGGTTCAAATGTTTTCTGTAACGCCATACTTCTCGGAACCGCAACCCGTGCAATCCCTTGTTTGAGAGATACGGGTCCAGCCAAGTTGCTGAAGCGGGCGCAATAAGGTATGTCCCATTCTTCTCCTTCAAGTACTCTTGATTACGTCGATCAGCGGGTGTGTCACAAGTGGCGAGATCCGTCAGTTGTGTGAGCAATGCATCGCCCTTTAGACCCATGACATCCCTTGTTTGCAGAACCTCGTTCTTGCCGTTGAGGAGCCATATTGGCGGGGTGTAGGTCTTCCACCAAATGGCCTGGGTCGCGTCTGGTTGCTTGCTCATAAAGACCTGGCCAGGAACGACACCACCTTGGTGGTAAATGCCCATTAACACCCCCAAAAATAGGTTGAAGATGATCCATGCCCCTGCCCAAGTTCGCAGCATGATCTTATTCTTGGGTAGCTCGACTGATGATAGAATTAGGGGCACGGTGGGCAATAGAAACCGAGCTTCTTGATGCGGGAATATAGATAGGACAAAAAGTCCAGAAATAGCGGAGTAAAGTCTCAGTGACAAATGAGGTTTGGCGAAGACCAAAACAGCTGCAGGTCCAAGGAGCTGCGGAAGGTTTGCCGCAACATGTTGGTACCATGGATGTATACCATGCTGGGCAAGGTTTGCCGTGTCCGAGTTATAGAGGAAGAAGTTGAGCGGGGTGATGGTAGGTCTGGAGATTAGGTCGGCCCAAGTAACGGGCTCAGATGAGTAGAAAGCGGTATCCAGCGCGATAGCTATTACAGTGGTTATTAAAGCAGCCGAAGCCAGGGCCACAAAAGAAAAAGGTCTGTTTTGATAGTCAGCACGATACTCCACGAGAATGCCTCGTGAGTGGAGGAAGAGAACACTGACTTATTCAAGAAATGGGGTATCAAACGAAGGCCAGGAATTAACAAGAACGCTGGGAAGGTGATTCGGTTAAACACTCCAAAAACGGCGACAATGCCGAGCACTGTCGAAGATAAAAGCGACGATTGTTGCTGAAACGGAAGAGTCAGTGAGACGCCGTAAAAAAATGAAATTTTGGTCAAGGCAAAACTGCGGGGAGGGGAATCATCATACTCGAGTATCCACAATGCGCTGAATCAAAACCAGACTCCAAGCTACGACCAGAGTTTCCACCGAGTTCGAAAAGGTGTGTGTCTGATATGTCCAGGTGACATACGACGATGCCACCAAGAGCACAGCGACACGTCGATGTCGCGGTGAGGGTATCAGTTCGTGGAGGGCCCAGTCCTCCAAGACAAAGCTAATCAGGAACATGAGAACTCGCAAAGTCCAGAATACAGCGATGGGCGGAATTTCGCCATCATGGCCGTTGCCAATCCACAACCATCGAAGGAGTAGCATTGGCAGCCCATAGACGGGCCATAGCGGGAAGACGCTCCGTATCGGGTGCTCGCTCGTAAACTCCCAGGTTCTTCGGACGGGATAACTAAAGATCTGGCCTGTGCATTTGAAAACATGTTTTGGTCAGCAAGGCTGCTCTCACAGGACCAGAGCACAAGAGCATGGCGAGCGCGTGACTTGGCCGGACGAGTCTGTCGAGACACCAGCGCACCAGCCGCAGCTCCAAGCTCCACCTTGTACCTGGTGTAGGGACAACACAAACGAGGCCGGCGCATGAGCATGAGCCCGAGAATGACAAGACTCAAATGCGCGGCATCAGGACGAATGAAAAAAATATCAACGTACCGGCTATAACCTCGGGGCCCTGGAAGTTCTCGTCCGGGTGTAGGTAGCTGGGGGACAGGGCGAACCACAGCCGTATCAGAACGAGGAGCAGATAAGTGCGCCGCCACATCGTTCAGCAACAGAACCTCGCGGTAGTCGATGACACGGCAGGCATGAGGTCGAAGATGTAGCGAAAAGCAGGCAAAGACATGGGAGATGAAAAGGATGGCGAGTCGATGGTGGACGCTTCCAGAGCGGCAGCGCGTACAGAAGCAAATCGACGACGTAGGCGCGACGAAGGTGTGTCGGGCAGAACGAAGTAAGCCGTGGTTGAAAGAGATTACAGAGTAGATGATAATACAAGCCAGGTAACACGAAGCTGAAGCTGAAGGGCTATTTGCGCAGCGCCATCGGCCTGACGGTAGAATATGGAGAGCGGGAAAAATATCAACGGGGGCAAACAAGACAGATTAATTAATTTTATCAAGGCGTATGGAGTGGGAGCAGGAGTCAAAGTACTAACAGTACGACACACTCAAGCAGGAGTTGGGACACAGCCAGCGATAAGACACGTTTATTAAAGAGCTCATCAGTGCTGGCTGAACTTGGAAAAAAAAAAAAAAGGGTGTCCACTTGATGCTCAGAGGACAGGGGGCACGAGCATGAGACTGGAGCTTGCAAGGCTGACGGGGCAGCCTGGCACCTAGTAACTACTGCAGTGGGTGTAGTAGTACCTGGCACCTGATAATGGCGGAGGGCCATTGTCATCAGGGGGTGGATGGCCTGATCGCATCACGCCCTTGGTTTTTGTTTCTCTCATCCGCTTTATCATGAACTTGTTCTAGTATGCCCCTTTGTTCTTCTTTTCATCACTTCCTTTTGCATTTCCCACTTGGGTGTGCCTTGTATTCGCCGTCTCCGGCTCCGTCGACCCTGTCGCCGAGACTCGAGAGGCTTGACAGCTTGGACGGCTGCCTACACGTGTACGGAGTACGGAGCGCATAGCAATATAGAGTGCTAGCAGGCAAACAGACGGGAACGTCTCGCATCAACAGACCCCAAGAATAGGGGCTCTCCGCCAACAATGAGCCAAACATGCGTTGGGGGTGTCCGCACCAGGGGTCTGTCTCCCAAACCCGCCAATCGCCAATCGCTGACCTCTGACATGTGGTATGTATGGTGTTGCTAAACCGGTCGACGGGCCCAGTCGATATTGAGCATTTCGATGGGAGGCTGAGAGGCTGAGAGGCTCACAGCTTGACGAGTGCGTCCACAGATCAACGGCCCGAAGAATGCTTAAATGTTGATGTCCTCCCCTCCCAGGTCAATAACAGGGCAGGGCCGCCGCTAAACTGCAGGCGGCATGGAGCCCAGCGGCCCCGGGACCCGGATACTAGGACTTGTTATTCTGCATCAACTCAATTTCATAGAGAGGACTATGGAGACTCATTGACGGCTTGGACATTGCATCGCGCCGCGCCAGGCACGCTCCCCCTGGTCAACAAAAAAACATGGGTCGGCAATCTAACAACACGCAACCAGACAATGGTCCTGGATCCCCGATCCCCGATGCCACCCAAAGAATGGGCTAGCTAACGGGGCTAACCAAGACATAGAAATGGACCTGACTCTTTGTCACGGGAGCCCAGGGTCTCTGAGCTCTGGGTCTGTCCATTGTTCAGCTTTGTTTGATATCTGGACATTGTCACTGTATGCACACAGCGCCCAACTTCTTCAAGTTGATGGCTTCCATCGCTATAATAAGGCCCCGTGACGAGGACAGAGGACATCACCCACAGCACTGGGGAAGCTTTAGCACGTCGCGGACAACCCCAGCTCCCCAGACAGGCTTGCCGCTACGGTGCAACCTCCTCGGCCAAGCTTGATGCTCCCTTGTGCGGCGGAGGGCTCTGATCTTTGCGTCACTGGCCACAAAGGTATGTCATTGGACTTCTTGCGCCATCAGGCAAGGTCAAGAATGGCCCATACACAGAAGGTAGTCGTGACCACTGCTCCGTTTTTTTTGCGCAAGAAGCCTGCCGTTGCAAGGAATGCGCATCGACTTCGGTTGAAACAAGGAATCTAGGAGTATGTTGGATGGCTTCGTACATGGGAATGCGCGGGGACAGCTACCTACTAGTAGTGGCATACCCGAGGCAGCCGTTCCAGACCCGAATGCGGACGGCGCGATACGCCAATATGTCGGGGCTAGAACGTTGTCGTATTGCGATCTGAGACGAGAGTGAATTGAATTTCACAAGAGGGCAGGAAGCCTGGAGAAGCGCTTCGAATCGTGCCAAGTAAGCAAGTGAGAGGTTGGAGCGATTCATCGAGGATGCTTGCAGAGAAGCGCAGGTTGTGATGGACGTCGTTTTATGTAATGCCATACTGCCTATGCATGCTCGTGGAATGTATAAGTCTGCAGTCTGCACGACAGGCTGCGAGAAGAGAGCCCTACGGCGTACGGAGTAGTTGTGATTCTTCGGCCACGACCAGGTGACTTCTCGTCGATGAAGCCAGAAGAATCAAGCGATGAACCGTTTAGTGCATGGCCTTCCCAAGTTTGCTTGAATCTTGGTGGATTTTGGTTCGCATCACACATCAATATTGAATGGCTTCATGGAGGCTTAGTGTTGGGGTTGACAAGGCAGACCCCAGTTGGCTGCATAACATTGAAATCGAGAGGTCAAGCGGTGGTTGCCAAACGAGGCAAGGCAGCAGCGCTCCACTGCGTGCTAACAGAACAGTCAAGTGCTTAATTCGATAAAGGTTCAACCAGTTGAGCAACAACCCATGCCAACATTAAGTTGAAGCCAGTACCTCCGATGCCCTGCTCAAGGGGCCCGTCCAACATTAAAAAGCCATTGCACTTGACATCAGGACCTTAGAGCATTTATCAACTGGTCCATCTCAACCTTAAGTTCAGCGACTCGTGCTATGCCGTCTCAATAAAGTACATGGCGCTGTACCTAAATTACATGGTGCGCACCTGTCTACTGCCCAAAGTACCTAGGTACTTATAGGGACCTAGTAGGCACACATTGATGCATGTACACATGCCCACTCGTTGCACTCAATGTCAATTTTGATTGTCTTTTCAACTTTCCCATCGATGCACCAGCATTCTTTAGCCTGCGGCCATCACCATTAAGCTCTGCAAGTGCAAAGGATCGTTTTCCCACGTCCAAACATAGGCTCACTAAGTTTGTTTGTCTTTGCTCCAAAGTTCATAGCAAGACCCTTCCTCTTCCCGCGCAGAGTTCAAAGAGCGCAGCTCCTAATCAAGGGCACGCCTCGCGATTGATCTGAAAAACCACACAACTACCTGTGCACTTTTTTCCCATTTGCCCGTGACTCTTTCACGTTTGTTGCAACTTGGATGTGAATAGCACCGGACCTCTCTGAGCAGAGCACTAAGCGCAGCACTGAGCACTTGAGTCAACATTGAACCCACATCGGCTCCATCCGTCCTTTTCTGGCGCCGTCCACTGACTGCAGTGGCTAGCCCGTTCTCCTGCCAAACGTTCGAAACCCCGCAGTGGCCCTAGTTGAACTTTGTGCTGTTCTGACTGTGAACCTGCGAACTCTCTGAACCTACCTTCATTCATCATCATCATCTGCAGCCAGCCGGGTATAAAAAACACTGCCTAGCCCACTTCAAGAACAACTGCGCTTTACTGCCTCAACAGCAACTGCGCTTTACTTCCTCTATATACCTCGCTACCTCAACCTTTTTGATACGCCATCTTCCTCACTCCGAAACACTATCCATTCTCGTTCGTCAACATGTCCGCCGAAGACACGTCGGGTGCCAAGGTCTACTTGGTCTCCAACGATAATGCCACTTTGCAAGTCGGTAGGTGACTGCCCGATTCACTTGCAGTTTTCGCCGGCCGAAGAGTTCGCACTGACTCCTTAGTTAGACCGCGTTGTTGCCCAGCGCTCCATTCTCATCAAGCACATGATGGAGGACATTGGTTATGACACCATCAGCCAGGATAATCCCATCCCGATTCCCAACGTATGTTGCGTCACCCAGCCAGTCTTGCTAGGCTTTCTATCAACCCGCTTAATCTACCAGCATCATCGCTAACTCAGATGCAGGTAAACGAGGCCGTCCTCCGCAAGGTTATCGAGTGGTGCGAGCATCACCGCAACGATCCTCCTCAAGCTCAAGACGATGAGTCTGACGGCCGACGACGTACCACCGACATCGAGGAGTGGGACCAAAAGTTCATGCAGGTTGACCAGGAAATGCTGTTTGAGATTATTCTGGTAAGTCCATGCTTGATTACCATTTCACCACCATCCATGCCATCTTTTCGCAGACTGACTGTCGGCAGGCTGCCAACTACCTTGACATCAAGCCGCTGCTTGATGTCGGCTGTAAGACTGTGGCCAACATGATCAAGGGGAAGTCACCAGAGGAGATCCGCAAGACTTTCAACATCACCAATGACTTTACCCCCGAGGAGGAGGAGCAGATCCGAAGAGAGAACGAGTGGGCCGAGGACCGGTAATGGAGCACGTAGTCGAAATGAGCTGGTCCCGACTCATTGGATTTTATCTCTGATTTCTTATTTTCTGCTTCGCAAAAGGCCACCTCTGCCATGCAACTCGGGCGTTCGTGGGGCTGATTACATGGTATTGACGATGGATTCTACCTTGCTTCTGGTTTACGCGTAAACATCCTAGCTTTAAAGTTAGAGTAGGTGACAATTCCAAAACTATCACTCCAATGTCTTCTTGTGTCAATGTGCAAGTGATATCGTGTATAAGGAAACGTAGTCGTTCGAGTGAAAACAGTATCAGATCGTCACGCCCTGATGTCATTGCAAAAGGTCACACAAGCGTCGCTGGCGCTGCGAGGATTATGGACAGCCCTGGGAACATTGCGATGGATATATGCGGGCTATGAGCCGTGGAGGCGAGCGGAGGCAATACCATCTCCGACAGATACTGACTACTTCCCTCCCGATGGTCAGAGATCATTGATGTGCGAGCAATCATCTACAATATCATCACCATGTGCAGATCCATTCAGTAACATTTCCCGTTTTATTTCAGAGACATCAAAATCTGTGCATTCCTTCCTTGAACCCGACCGTTTCATGCAGTAATGGCGAGAAATTCGCGATAAACCTGGCAAATAAAACCCTGCCTTATAATTCGGTACGTTTTAACACATCTCCCCGTTTCTTCCTTGTTCATCTTTACGCTCTGAGCAGCAGTAAAGTGTATGTCCTCTAGAATTCCTTCGAAGATAATTTAATCCATCTCATTGTGAAGCCATGGCGAGAAAAAAAATTGCAATAGTCGGCGACATTTGATGGGTAGAGGAGTCGAGAATTGTCGTAGGCGAAACAGTTTAGATGCCGAGGCGGGTCTTTCTCCAGTGCCGTCTCTTGGCGTTGTAGCTGCGAAAATCAAAGGTACATGTTAGCAGGCAAGTTTCTGTTGTTTCTTCCCAGGTGGCCTTGTCCATCAAGATTCGATCGACAAAGCGGAAACACAGTGAGAAAATGCATACCGGACGGAGTTGTTGGTTCGGAGTCTAATCCATTGAGGCACAGGGCGGTTCTGCTTCTGTGCCTTGGCAAGCTTCTGCTTGGTACGGAAAGACTTGTGGCTCTATTGATGAAGTGTCAGCGTTTCATGGTGTTTTCGGTGACGGGACGATCGGGGTGCGTCACACGACGCGCAGAATGATCCGAGAATGTGAGAGCGAGCGAAGTATGCAATTTGCATTCTCTGGACATGAGCGTCGTCGTGGACAGCGTCGCAGGGCGGCATACCGGCATCTTGGTTGGCTTTGCGTGTCGAGTCGCTAAAGTGATGAGGAATTTCGTGGAGTTGAGACCGAGAGGATTTTTGGCCCGCACTCGAGGGCGTAAAACCCTAGCGAGGATGTGTGGTGCGGCTGGTGCGAGAGAGTGTGTGGCTGAGCATGACTGGTGTGGCTATTCTTGCCTCAGGCATGAATGCCAACAGTTTACTACGATGGGCTGCCTCGCGCAAACAAGTGTGCTGACTAAGTATGGTCTGGCTGGCTGGCAAACAAAATTACACAGACAGTGGTGGTATGCAGATTAGTATGTAGTGTGTCCCATTAATTATGTCCAGTGTCTGCAGCCAACCGTAACCAAGAAAGCAGGGTCTAGATCATGTCCCTGGCCCGCCGCCCCCAGAAATCGGGAATGTTGGTGGTGTCCGACAGAGGTTCCAGAATAGGAGACTGATTTCTAATTAATGCTTGCCTCCTGTCGAAATTCTTGCCACGGGACATTGAAAACCATCAGGGAAGCACGCAGATAGAGGACGAAGCCAACGAAGCCAGCGGTCATCTTTCTCTTCTCCATTTTAGTCCGTTTCTTGTTATCTGTGTACGATATCCACCCCGATTCGTCCGATCAAGTGACCACGCGTGTTGGGGGCCTCGAGAACTACAACCTGAGCTTTTCCCTGATCCTCGGCACCGCATCTAGCCAACGCTGATTTGTTTGGTTCCCTGCACTCGCCGTGTACGCAAACATCTTAACTTTAGTCACCATGGGTGCGGGCATGTCATGGCTGTCCAACTTGCTTTGGGCGAAGAAGGAGATTAGAATATTGATCCTGGGGCTTGTATGTTTGTAGCAATTCTCCCTAGAGGTGAAATGGGCGGCAACTAACACGTTTTGAATTAGGATAATGCCGGCAAAACGACGTTGCTTTACAGGCTAAAGGTACGACATGTCCAGCGTGTTCTGATATTGGAGAACGGCCGAATACTAACAGATATCCGAAAAGATTGGCGAGGTCGTCACTACGATACCCACAATCGGCTTCAACGTCGAGTCGGTGACATACAGAAACTTAAACTTTAACGTCTGGGTATGTTTGGACACGCATATCAGAATGGTCATGCAAAATAAGCAGGACAAGAGCTGCAACTAACGCCACGCTCGTGCAGGATCTCGGTGGTCAGACAAGCATTCGACCGTACTGGCGATGTTACTACGCCAACACAGCAGCCGTCATCTTCGTCGTCGACTCTACTGATATCGAGCGATTACAAACCGCAGCCGAGGAACTTGCCGCCATGCTCAACGAGGAAGAGCTCAAAGACGCGGCGTTGTTAGTCTTTGCCAACAAACAGGATCAGCCTGGCGCAAAGGGCGCGGGCGAGATTTCGGAAGCGCTGCGCCTGGGTGAGCTGCGCGACCGGAACTGGAGTATCATGGCGTGCTCTGCTGTTGATGGAAGCGGTATCAATGAAGGCATGGACTGGCTGGTCGTAAGTACACTCTACCGAGGAGTATTGCACGTGTACAGGGGATGATTTGCTGACTTTGATGTGCTTGGTAGCAAACGGTTAACCAGGAATAATCATGGCATACGCAATGGGTTCTTTTTTTGTTATTACGGTTTCCGGCGCTTAATATGTACAACAAAAAAACGACGTGATGATAAAGGCTCCCTCACGATTCCGTCGCATCATAGTAAACAGCAATCATAACTTCATGGGAAGGGGGAACAGAGGAATTCAGTGTTATTGAGTCGCAGGGTGCTGGCAACAATGGCTGGCCATGGGTTTCTTCCTCTCAACCTGGCTATCATGTTGCAAAAAGAGGAGAAAGACCTACAATGAAAACGAGTGCGACGCAAAGTGCGATGAAGACGTAATATAGTACGACCCTTTAATACTACAATCAGGATCTATGGAGGTCCTTTTCTTTTTCTTTACATAGAGAGATCTCACAAATTCTGATGGAGAACACTATTGTTTCGAGTTAAGTCGAGTGTCCCCCATGAGCCCCAGCTCAATGCGAAAAATATCAACACTATACCCAGGTTGTATTAGGGAGTTGCGAGGCGAGCAATAATGTGAAAAGCAGATTCGGATAAAACCAAAATCAGCTACTGGGGGGAAATGTCTGTCATTATGGCGTGAGAGCAAGACTTCACCACAGATTGATGTAGGCGATATACTTAAACTCGTGAACGAATGACTGCAGCAACCATGCAAAATTCACGACGGACTAGTATATCTATGCCTTGCCCTTGTGTATGGTCTAGTGTTTTGCAGGGCCCTTCCTCCAGATGCGGCCGCGGCAATGGATATGACTCGAGATGACAAAAACAGCAGTCAAACACCGACTTTGGAAGCAGCAATATCCCACGGGAATCAGAATTCGGTCTGTTGTCATGGTGGAGCGGCTGCAATATTCAAAAGAGACCGAATAGCTCGCGGCGTGTTCAAGAAGGCCGAACGCCATCCCGAAATATCGCCTGCTGCGTCTGACCATCACTACATGGGAAGCACAGGTGCCTGGCATTGTTGAGGTTCCCCTCGTGGGTGTCGCCTCTGTCGTGCCTTCCCATGTATCCCGAAGTGTAAGCGTCACGACTCACCACCACCTCCAGGGCCCCAACGCACGCTTGCATCTTTGCCAATGCTACCCGCTACCCATGACATCAACCATCACAAACAATGTTTCCGATCCAATCGTTCAATTCACAAATCAATCTGGTCAGCATTCGGCAGCTCATGCCAGGAACTCCTCATCGCTGGAATTGCCGAGCTCGCCCCGTACTTGGTGGAGCTGCTACAACACTTCCTGTTGCAAGATATCGGCGTAATGAACGAACCTTCGATCCTGCTCCCAGAATCTCTTGTTTTTGCCTCCTATAGCCGGTCAGTTGTGCACATTTAATGATTGGTAATACCAGGGCTGGTACACAACTGCGGCATTGCTCGTTTCCAATGACCGTGGGAAATCTGGACAAGAATTAGTCTCGGCCGGATTCCAGGGACAGGTGGCTTCGAGGGCTTCGAGATTTACTTCTCGGGCCTTTGGATATACTTCGACCATGATTGGGGCCGTCGCCCCACCGTCATCTCACATCTCCCAACGTCTATTCATCGCCTCCAATCACCAAACTGTATGTGAGATCGGTGGTCGAACCAGTCACCGCGGGGACTGGCAACGGTGGCGCGGGAAAGTCGAGACAGCATTCATGTTCCGACTTCGATGATGCTGGATCCCACCGGCAGATACGTACGGGATGCTGGCCGGTCCGTTTGTATTGTGAACAATATGGTGGCGATACACTTTTCTTAGGCGGAGCAGTCTAAGTAGTATATAGTGCTGGCAAGTCCGGAGTAGTCCAAGAAGTGGAAGTCCTACGGTTGTTCATTCATATCGGCATACATCTTGTCTCGACCTGACTTGCACCTACCTGTCTTGTATCTCAAGTTTCCGGACGCGATAATCCATTAAGCCTACCTCAATACCACTTCTACTGGATCTCGCAGGGCCTTTCTTGATCTGTATCAAATCTCCATTCAACCGTCACCATGGGTGCCAACGAGGCGAACTCGACATACCGCTACAATGAGAAGCCCATCTACACAACATCCAATGGTGCTCCCATCAATAATCCGGAGGGATGGCAGCGTCCTGGACCGATGGGGCCCTTGTTACTACAGGACTTTCATCTCATCGATTCCCTAGCTCATTTTGATCGTAAGTTCTTCATCAAACTATAAACAAAAAGCACAATCTTCGCAACATAAGCAAAACCTTCAACCACCCCCAGAGTCATAAACACATCATACTTACATCCTGTGAACAGGCGAACGTATTCCGGAACGAGTCGTCCATGCCAAAGGCGCCGGTGCATACGGCGAATTCACAGTCACTCACGACGTCACTGACATCACCAGCGTCAACATGTTCAACCAAATCGGCAAGAAGACGCCATGTGTCGCGCGCTTCTCCACCGTTGGTGGCGAAAAGGGATCTGCAGACTCTGCCCGTGATCCGCGAGGCTTCTCCGTGAAATTTTACACCGAAGAGGGTAACTTTGACTGGGTCTACAATAACACGCCAATCTTCTTCCTTCGAGATCCCACCAAGTTCCCGTTGTTCATCCACACGCAGAAGCGCAACCCGCAGACCAACCTCAAAGATGCCACCATGTTCTGGGATTACCTCTCAACTCACCAGGAAGCCATCCATCAAGTCATGCACCTCTTCTCAGATAGAGGAACGCCTTACTCGTACCGTCATATGAACGGATATTCCGGCCATACGCACAAGTGGACCAAGCCAGACGGCAGTTTCGTATACACCCAGGTACACCTCAAGACGGACCAAGGCAGTAAGACCTTCACCAATGAGGAAGCCGGCAAAATGGCCTCCGAAAATCCGGATTGGCACACGCAGGATCTCTTTGAGGCCATCAAGAGAGGTGAACACCCCAGCTGGACTGTCTACGTGCAAGTCCTCACGCCACAGCAAGCTGAAAAGTTCCGCTGGAACATCTTCGACCTGACCAAGGTCTGGCCGCAAAAGGACGTGCCACTCCGACCAGTCGGGAAGCTCACCCTCAACAGAAACGCCGATAACTACTTCGCCGAGATCGAGCAAGTCGCCTTTTCGCCGTCCCACCTCGTCCCCGGAATCGAGCCGTCCGTCGACCCCGTCCTGCAGTCCCGTCTCTTCTCATACCCGGACACACATCGCCACCGCTTAGGTACAAACTACCAACAGATTCCCGTAAACAAGCCCCTAAATGCTTTCAACCCTTTCCAAAGAGATGGTGGCATGGTTGTCAACGGCAACTACGGCGCCAATCCCAATTATCCAAGCTCTTATCGGTCACTGACCTACAAGCCCGTCACGCCGAGCGTCACACATGAGCAGTGGTCTGGTGCAGCTGTCCACGCTCTCTTTGGCGATGTGACGGATGAGGACTTTGTCCAGGCCACAGGGTTGTGGGAGGTGTTGGGACGTACGCCTGGCCAGCAGGAGAATTTCATTTCGAACGTGGCAGGCCACTTGTCTGCTGCCCATGTTGATACCCGCAAGAGAACCTATGAAATGTTTAAAAGGGTGGACAAGGGACTCGGGAAGGCTATTGAGGAGCAGACTGAGAAATTAGCCTAGTTTTTTTCTTCTTGTATATTACCTACCACGTCTTAAGAACGAGACCTTAAGGAAGTTCCATATAGTACTTCCCCGTTACGTTTTGGGTAGTTGAAGGATTGTTCTGTACGGGGACTTGGTATGCAGAACGGATAGGGTAGTCTCCATAATACATTCATCACCCTTCCTAGGGCAGAACATACATCACGAATTGTATCACGTAATCACCCAAAGAGCAAAACGCATTTGAAAAAAGTTATTCGTATTTAGATTAACTATAATTCTGCAACGACTGAAGAACAAACGAGCAGGGGGTCCCCTTTGCAGCAGCGGTCCGCTTGTCCTCGGTGTATATAAACCCGATACGCATGACAGACGTATAGCACACTTTGTCAGAGAGAAAAGGAGCCATGTCTCGCTCCTCTCCCCCCCACGAACTTCACACATATAATGCGGGTGGAAGGCGGGGAATAATATCCAGCATCTCAGTGCCTACAAACCTGCGCTGCAGTCCAGCGGATGACGGTGCCGGGTGTGCTGATCTACAGCGTCCGGGAAACGTCAACCCATTTGTGGCGGCAGAACTCCTCGTTTACTTTGTCCCAGAAACATTCATAACCAGATCCAAGCTGAAATTGTGAACATGACTGGGCTCGCAGTTGAGAGAGTCTGATCGTAGTGAGATGAACTACTTGTTGTGCCCTTCATTGCTTCAAACTCTTTGCCAGAGGTTTCGCCCTGATTCAAACGAGCAAATTCAGAACGGCCGTATTTCCCAGCCGTGGTAGCTATAAAGAGTCGGGCGGCCCACACGACTGGTTGATACGGGCAGAATACCCTCGGGCAGAGTGCAAGAAGCTCGGGGCTGAACGGCAAGACAAAGATGCCGTACCAAGTGCCTTCCTGCGCAGCAGAGTACACTTGGCACGGCCCAGCTCTTCGGATAATACCCAAACTCGACCATCACCTTCTCACGCCCAAACGTCCAGTTCCGGACCAGCCGGAGGATGTTTGTCTGTATTATTCCCGTCGACAGCCAGTGTCAGACCAGCTCAGAAACAAATTCCGGATCAATTTCCAAGACAAGCCTCATAACGAAGTATTAGTATTGTCGTACGACGGCCGGTTAGAGTGGGCAAAGCAAGTTAGATCTAGAAACCGGTCCAGAGTCTAATCACGCAATTGCCTCCATGTTGACGAGTTGACAAATCGTTTCACACCGATGGAAAGGTTGACATAACGGCATCAAGCCGCATGATGCATCCTTTAGTTCGATCGTAATCCATTAAATTTCGTCAGTGGTCGTCATGTGGTCGCAGGTCGTCATCATTACTCATTTCGTCAAGACAAGAACGAGAAGGAAAAGCGATGAAAAAAAAAGTGAGGGTGAGTTGCAAGCGCGAGGCTTGTTCAGGGGTATCATCCGTAGAAAGTCTTCGTACAGGCCGCACCAAAATATTGGGCTAAGACTAAAGCTAAAATGAAAGATGAAGTATAGAAATATCGGGGAATCAAGAGTCCAACTAGGGAGTCTGTCTCGGAGCCAGGCCGAGTATGGCGCATTGCTGCATATTCCTCTTATCTTTAACCCAAAAAAGGAACCGTAACAAGGACAGAGGAAGAGGTAAAAATAAAAAAGAAGGCATAAAGTGGAGAACAGTGTCCGAGAAACGAAGGGGAAGTCGCGAACCGCCTTTACTGCTGCTGATCAGAGGCCCTGCCCATTTACAAACGACCGAGCTAACAGTGTCGGTGCAAGGCGCGAGGAGGCTTTGTAGTATCGGAAATGGTAGTAATCGAAGGACATATTCCGAACCTCAAGCGTGCAGTCGCTATGTCGCCGGTAAAAGGACAGTGGCCACGCCAAGACCAAAAATGCAGACAAACAAGAAAAGAGTAACGCAGGAGAAACTTTCAAAACCGCTTTGTCTCCCCGAAGAGTGGGTATTTGTCGAGCTTGTTCGAACTCCGTTCCCGATGCAAAAAAAAAAAAAAAAACGCCGATCTCGAATGCCATTTCGATAATGGTTGTCTATGTCGCTGTGTATCAAAACCTTGTGCTGGTAATTGCTTCTAAACTTATTTCCCTGGTCCCGAGAAACATTAAAAAGGGCGCAGCGGCGCAGTGGCCTATTAAGACGTCGTCACTACTGGATAATCGTCCCCCGTGACCGGTTGTGGTTGTCACATTATCGTCGCATACTCCTGGTACCGATCCCAACCGAAGCCACCCATGCCAACGCTAACGCCGCATTGCGATGAAGCAAGCATGCTGGGTAAAGGTAGAGCTGCAGGCATGGGGGCGGTCATGGGTGGCGAGGTGAAGTAAAGAGCAGCTGTGGCGTGCGGTTGAGTGAAGGCCGGGGCGGGTGAGGGCATCTGGAGTTCGTTGATGCCCATAGTAGCCCACATTGGAGGGTTGTTGGGCTCAGCCGATGTCGAGGGCACACTTGGACTTGACGGTAGGACTCGCCAGGGTTCGACCGCAGGCAGAGAGCTGGGCATTGTCGGCTGCGATGACCACATGTTGTTGACGGGAGAGCTTGGGAGGAGAGTAGGCTGGCGCACAACGTCGACGACGCGAGGGGGTGGAGGCAACAAAGGCTTCATCAATCCGATGAGGCTGTTCCTCACTTCCTCACTCTTGCCACACAGCAGCTCGCCTGCTCCCTCCTCTTCAAGGCCTTCCAAAGCGCTTACGTGGGTGCGGTAGACAAACTTGTTGATGGCCTGGACAAAGTCTTGGTGGAGCTTTTTGCACTGTTGCTCCTTTTCCGACCAGTCGTAGGTGCTGGCCTTTGCATCAGCGCAGTGGATCTTGTCGTGGTACTCGACCAAGGCATCGATGGTATCGGTTGTGAGTTTGTAGGCGACTTCGTTGCGCAGGACCATGTCGACGTGAACAATGTAGGCCTCGACGTGAACGAGTTGATAGCTGAAGAGCTCCTCGAGGGGCTCCTTGGGCATCTCGGCTTCGGGAAGCTTAGACAGCATGAGGGAGGCAAGAGTCCAGATGGCGTTGGGTGACGACAGGGTCTCGGTTAGGCATCTTTGGTGTTGAGGGACGCTGTTGAGCGGACGCTTTACTTTGTTGACGCGCTTCAGGGTCTGCGTGAGCCAAGGCTCGACCTTGGAGCCCAACACGACATTGACTGAAGATGCCCTCGGGGCAAAGGCGGCGGCCGAAGCCGGGAGAAGCTGGACAGGCATTCGGAAACGCGAGGCCGTGTGACCAGGTCGTAGGGGCGGCGGCGGCGGCGGCGGCGTCGTCGTCGCAAAACCGCTGAAACGTGGCGGGGTTCAGCTTGTTGGCTGGCGGTACACGGAGGGGCGGGCCGACGGCAGGTGGGAACGGAGGAGGGGGGTCGAATCCTGTGGACGGGAGGATGGACAAAAGCACTCTACGAGGAAATAGAAAAAGACAGTAATAAGAAAAGGAGATCGAGGTAACGGAGCCGAGCAGGGAGTGCCGAGGACGGTTGGCTTTATGGGAGGGATCGCCTGCTGACGGCCGCAGCCAGGAAGAAGAGAAGGCGGACGAGGGTGTCGTGAGGAGAGAAGGGGAGAGAGCCGGCGATGGGAGGGTGGCGGCGGTGGGGAGATATACTTTGCTCAACCAGTTCGATGTTGTGCGCGCGCAGTCAATATGAGCGAGTGAGTGGCCTGAGGGCCAGGCGGGCCTCTGCACCTCTGCAGGTCTGCAACCAGCGCTCTGCAAGTGCCTGCACAGTCAATTCAATGTTGCCTGTTGCCTGCACCTGCACCTGCACCTGCACCCTCGAGCGCCGGCGCCTGGCGCCAGACCAGGCCAGGCTGGACCAGACCAGACGGCAGTACGGAGTACCGACCGGACCAGACTTGGCACCTGGGCATGTACTGGGGCACTGGGGGGCACTGGGGCGCCAGGAAGGGCTCAGACGTCCGGCCAGCCACCCATCGATCGGGACTAGCACGGCCGACCGGCGGCATTGCTGCACGGGAGAGTATGTACGGAGTAGTACTCGGTGGATAGCGAGTTACCACGTACGGAGTGTCCCAGGGAGTGCCCCAGCTCGCAGACAAGAATAGCCAGGCCAGGCTCCATTGCTGAAAGTCGTCGTCTGGCCGAGTGGCTGTGGCTCGGCACGGTGTTTTCGCAGCAGCCACAGTTGGGCCCCGCCGCTCAGCCATTCATTGATCTGGACTCCAGGTCACCAGACCTATCTTCATCTTCCATGTCTTGATGCTTTGTTAAAGATGCGGTTCTGGGATAACATTAACCTTGACAACGGCTTCACGCCTGACGCCTGACGCCTGACGCTTGACGCCTGTGCTGGCGCCTGACATGCTCGCCTCGTGTTTTCCAGCATGGACAAGGCCGGCAAGGCCTCCGCGGCCCGGTTTATCCTCGCCAACTTCAAAACGCCGCCATCCCCATCCCCATCCACAATCCACCTGGCCCGAGGCCATGCAAATGCCATGATTGATCTTTTTCCTCTTGGTGGTCACGGCATTTGGTACTACTGCAACGTACGGGTCCACCATTATGCAGTCGCCTTTTCAAGCTACATGTACCAAGCACCCAGTACTCCGTAGTAGTAGTAGTGCTAGCAGTACTACCTCCGCGCTCAATCAATCCTGGCTGTGCTTTCGACCTGCATGTCGTGCCTCCTCCAGACACGAATATCGGCCGCACACCCCCCTCCCCTCCCCTTTTTGCCCCCTTCACCCAAGAAATTCCAGTCTTTCTTCAGGCGCCCTCATGCGGCGTGTGCGTCGCATCACGGCCGAGGCGTGTAAGTCCAGTCTCCTCCTGCCCTGGTCTTGTCTAGCTGAAAGCTGCATCGGAGCGCCACACATGCGCCATGCCTCCAACTGGCCATGGGATGACTGTGTACGGAGTATGTATGTATGTTGTATTTCACACACTTGGGCCTATCTACCTACCTAGCTATGTCCACAGCTTCGGCCCTTGCGCATGACCTTGGGGACCAGCCAAAGACACCTTGAAAGTGCCAAAGTGACACACTTACTGGGCCAGCAGCAGCTCGTGACAAGGCGAACAGGCTCTCGAGTCCACGAGTAAAGACACTTCTGCTCTTGGACCTTGTGTTAGACAGGAAGTGATTGCGCCCATCCAAAGGATTCATGGCCCAAGTGAGGGACGAGCACATGCTTTTGTTTGTTTTACTTTTACAAGAGACTCCTGAGCGCCAACTTGGGAGGTTGGACTGGTCCCAACACAGTCAGCCACTTGTTCCTTCACAGATGGCGCATAAAACAACCACTCCGTGGCTTGTTTCTCTCTCTTCAAAAGTCATCCATCTACAAAGCTGTGAAAGACGTGGCTTATTAACCTGTCTCCAACCAGCGGCTGCTGAAGACGACCGTTGCCGTTGGATGTGACGCCTCGCAGACACACCAAAATCGAATACCACCTCGCTGGGCGCTTCATCCAACACGGCACATCGTATGGAGTAACAAAGACATCTGACATCTTCCATGGCTTCGAATTCTTCTCTCACTGACCCATCCTTGCATCTTCCAACTACTATGTTCCCTACTCTCCCCTCTATACATATGCAGCTTCTCGTCCTAGGATAGAGCAGTCCACCTCCCAGCTTTGCCCATTCTTGTAGCTATACCTTGCCTCCTAATGTGAAAAGTGATACCAATGCCCCCTTACGAGAATTTGGGTTGCACTCCTTTCCTCCTTTCTGAAGAGGAAGCTTGCGCGGCCATCGGTCTGGGCTTGCTTGGACCAACAACAAGGAGGGCAGCCATATCCACGCTCTTCATACCGCCGCCCCATTTCCAATACTTGTAGGCCCATTCGGGTATTATGCAGATAAACTAACGGATTTTTGGCTATTCATGGTGAGATCCGGGGGTGTGTGAAAGTACATACATCCTGCACATCCGTCTCCTGTTCTGCTGTATTCACGGCATAGTTGTACGGAATGACGGATTTCACAAAGCCAAAGTTGATTGATTTGCTGTTGGGCTAGTGTCACATACGCTGAATATTTGGTCTAGATACCACCTGGAGTTTAATCAGATCATGAGAAAGCATTGCCTGCTAGCTTTTAGGTCATTGATGCGGCTGAACTTGTGCCTCGTCACTACCGCCATCTCACCCACATGGGAGCGTCTGGGTACGCGCCGAATGCCTACAGCGGAAATGAGCCTTGGCTAGCGGGCCAGAAGAGGCCGTCGGCTTCTTCCCATAGTTCTAGACCTTTGAAAGTGGCGCCGCTTTGTTATCTAACTTTCTTGTCTCGAGATCTTTTCCGGTTCCGTAAGAGCCGACAGTTCCTCGTTAACATTTGGCCCCTCGAAGTAGTGTTCATACTTGCCTAGCTACTTTATAACTGTGACCTGGGGGCGTGAGCATGACGTGCATATTGGCTACATATTACATGTTATGTGTAGTAGTATGTAAGTTATGCAGGTTTGAAATGCGCATACGATCCCACTCCTTACTACTAACTAGCATCAAACGAAGGCCGAATCTGAGGGCGCCATTTCGAGCCCTCCTATCTCAGGGTTAACAGAGAAAAGTTAGTCGTCTGCTATGCGCGGGGCGTCCAGTCATGCAATACAACAAGTAGAGAGAACGGAAATTTGATGTAAAGTCTATAGCCACTTGGCGACCAGCCCCTGGGCATTTCCTTGACTAGCAGTTCATTTGATCGACAGTCAAAAATCTCGACGGCTTCGACGGGTCGCTCTAGGGAGAAGCCGTTCGGTAGGCGCGGGTATGGCACCTCCTTGGAGACTAAGGAGCACCCCAGATTTCCACGAGTCCGTTCCGTCGATATTGTCAGGTCCTGGGATGTGGTTGGACAATGGAATCGAGACTTGAATACAGCTAATGCACAGACCAAGGGGAATGGGCTGCTGATTGAGTTTGCAATAAGGAGAGAGTGTGCTAGTACGGGTAAGGGAAATTGGGAAAAGGCGAGTAATAATCATGCTGCTGATGTTGAGGGAATAGGCCAATGCAAGCAAGTTGACTGATTAGAATGATAGCCATCCATGTTCCCTTTCGTTAGCGGCGGGTGAGAGGTGAGGCGCAAAACGTCCAATCGGCGCTTTGACTGTTGATTGGCTGGGTATTCAAAAGCCTGAACAAGTCAGTGGAGGTGCCGGTGGAGCTGAACTCTCACTTATGGCGAGGTTGTTGTTGATTGGCCAAGATTCAGACGGCAGAAGCCAATCATAGTGTCAGGCTTCAACTCGATAGCTTTGAGGCTTTGGCAAGGACCGATTCAAGTGTGTACTCCTTTGGAGACGGAGCCACAAGGGGGTGTGAGCCAGGAAAACCATTGTCCATGGAAGCAAGGCAACGGGGGAGCAGGAGCAGGAATAGGCAAAACCTCCGTCGTACATGTCGCAGATGGTGAGTTCAAATACCGAATCAGATGGGTCTTGGATTCATTAACATGGGCGCCTATCAGCCCAGCCGCAGCCCTATGACTTCCAAGTTGGGAAATCTGAGTTTTAGGATAATCGCTGGGTCAGGAACTTCTGTCCTTCTTCGGCGCCTGCTCGGTGAACACAGACTTTGCTCATTCGGATCATTGTTAACTTATTGTAGCGTGATATGAGTTTTTTTCGGTTGCGGGCGTGAGTGGCTCGATTGAGGATGGGATAATACCTGTTGATAATATTCATGCACCTCGCATGCGAGGTGTGACCGTGCTCATGGCCCGAAACTTCGAGCTTCATATCGAGATGTGTCCTTGGCGTTTTGCCCTTTGGGAGTCCACGGTTGCGTAGTTGATAGCCTATGAAATTCGGGTAGGGTTTGGCTCGTCAGAAGATTCTCGCGAGTCTAGTGGCAAGATTGGACAGACCACTGTGTGGTACCAAACACGGGTGGGCAGTGAGCTTCAGAGCAGGGTGTGGGTAGAACAATAGCGAAGCCCGAAGGTATCTGATCATGCTCATGTTCATGCTTGCAGTTTGACAGGATTCATCCCACAGGCTGACTTGAGCGCATGTGGCGTACAAATGCAAGCGTGAGAGGCGATCAATGTACGTAGCACGAGGAACGAAGAGGACTGGAGTCGGTTTTGTTGGTTCTGCCATTCTGGCGTTCGAGGAAGGAGCGACTGGCACCGACAGGGTGAGGTGGTCCGGAACTGAGGCAAGTAAACCAGACTGCTCCACTACCATGCATGCAGCTCCAGCGCACTCATCGATAGTAGTTGCCGTTTTCATCAGGAAAGGTCGATCGACGGGGAAATCGCCGAGTTCCTTTAGGTACTTGTAGGTAGTTGGTCGGCCAACTGTCTCTGTGTTTACTTTTTTTTCTCTCTGAAGACCCCTAAAATCCATCCAACGAGTGCAGCAAGAGAGAGCGCGTGGAGAGACAATATGAAAGCAACACCTGAGGTACGGAGTACAGTCTTTGGCAAAACATATCGAGCACTTACCAATCGTCAAATACGGAGTACACACTAATGCAATACGTACATTCTCTATCTACTAGGTAGGTCAGTAATCGACGCGCATAATGACGGCTGAGAAATCCGCTCAGCAATAATTAGCTGATGACATACCAGGTTGTGTGTCGCCACCACGACGGAGCCAGTCGTACCAAACAGGAGGTTCTCGTACAATGCATCCACGTTGGTGCTCAACTGCTGTCCTTTGATGCCACCATTTATTTTGGTCCGACTCCACCACCTTGCTGCACAGGTTTGAAGCAAGTGCCTTGCCGACTGTGTTGCAGGTTCACGCTATGGTGACGCAGCATTCAAGACCCTGTTGCCTGTCTGACGGGCTTGAGAACCACAGGACTAGACACGAGCTGGCTCACGACAATCCGAGGTGGCACGCCAACACTTGATTCCTCATATGACAAAGATTCTCCTCTTTCAACACATCGAGTGAGCCATGTGCTGGGTGGCATCCTTAGGCTATTGCTCGCGGTCACAGCCATTACCAGCAGAGAGAGAAAAGACGAATGAAGAGCGCAACATCTCGCAAAGCAAGGCAATCCCCAGAACGACGCGAAACTGGATTGGGCCAATTGAATTTATAGAGTGCTTTGTCCGTGTTGCGTCAATCAAGGCCACCATCTCGGTACAACCGCACCCAGCCTGCACGTGTACGATAACTGCTGTTTCTTTCCGTCAACAGTCTTCAAGGTCACGAGCCATTATCAATATATTTCTGCGTGTCTCTCCTCGTGCAGTTTGGGCTGTCTGTCCTTGACTGAGGACTATTGACCGACTGAAAGAGATTCCGGAGCCATGTGCCTCTGAATATTTCTAGGGCACGGCAGATATCGCCGCGAATGCCTCTGTCGCTTGGACAGGGCAAGCCCATGTCGCATGGCTGCCTCGCTTCAGGTTGAAGACTTCATACAGGCCATTCAGCTCTTGGACCCCGTTTCTTACCCTGTGAAGGAAGTCAATAGCCAGCCATATCTTAACACGTCTGCTACGTGGCAATTGTTAAGATCCTGGGTCTTTGATGACGCAGTCCTCGCCCTCGGCTCGACTAGTACAGCGAGCGGAACGAGGTGGCACGGG